CTGCTCCGGGTCTGGTCACTGCTGCTCTGTTGCTCTGGTTCGTTCCATAATCAGCTGCTCCGGGTCTGGTCACTGCTGCTCTGGACTTGGCTGCTGCTGCTCCGGGCCTGGCCGCTCCCAGTCTGGCAGCTGCTGCTCCGAGCCTGGCTGCACCCGACCCGGCTGCTCCGGGCCTGGTGGCTCCCAGTCTGGCTGCCGCTGCTCCGGGCCTGGCCGCACCCGACCTGCCTGCTCCCCCGGGCCTGGCCGCTCCCAGCCTGGCTGCCGCTGCTCCGGGCCTGGCCGCACCCGACCCGCCTGCTCCCCCGGGCCTGGCCGCTACCAGCCTGGCAGCCGCTGCTCTGGGCCTGGCCGCTCCCAGCCTGGCAGCCGCTGCTCCGGGCCTGGCCGCACCCGACCCGGCTGCTCCCCCGGGCCTGGCCGTTTCCAGCCTGGCAGCCGCTGCTCCGGGCCTGGCCGTATCCGACCCGGCTGCTCTGGGCCCAGCCGCTCCGAGCCTGGGCACTCCCAGCCTGGATGCTCTGGGCTTGGCTACTGCTGTTCTGGGTCTGGTTGCTCCCACCCTGGCTGCTCTGGGCCTGGCTTCTCCGGGTCCGGCCACTCCGGGTCTGGGTGTTCCTGGACTGGCCACCCTGGGCTTGGCCGCCTCCGCCTCAGGCCTGGCTGCCACTGCCCCAGGTCTGGCTGCTCCAGTGCTGGCTGTTGATGCACCTGGTTCTGGCTGCTGCTGCTCTGGGGCCTGGCCGTTGCTGCTCCGGGCCTGGCTGCCACTGCCCTGTGCCAGGCCACCCTAGGCCTGGCCGCCGCTGTTCCAACATTCCGTCCTTCTTTTTTTTCTTTCTTTTTTTCTTTTTTTAAAAAAACGCATTTATGTTGCAATGTTGGCTGTTGAGTTGAGTTCTGACCCAGTCTTTGATTTTTCAAGAACTTCTTTGTATTCTTTCTTAAGTAATTTTACTATCTTTTGCTCTCACTTGATTTCTTCACATTGAGAACTTCTTTGGTTTCTTCCTCCTTGTCCTGGGAGCTCAGCAGGTTGGCCTGTGGCACCCCTTTGTTCTCCGCGGGCTCCTGCGCTGCTTTAGCCTGTTGCCGGGGACGGCGTCGCCCAGGAAGCAGCCCCTCTGGCCTTGGCTCCATTGCCCGAGCTCAGTGGTCAAAGGCTCAGGGGCACTCCCCCCCAGGGGCCCCGTCGCCGGGCTCCTTACTGGTGCCTGGTTGGCCGGCATCCGTGTTCCCCCAGCCTGGAGCTTTTTTTCTCCTTCCTGCTAGGGGAGTCCAGCATCAGAGTCAACAGACTGTCCTCTGCGCGCAGCATGCGCGCGACTCCGGGGGCCCGGCCTTTCGCTGCTCTCCCCGGACTCCACCTCACAGCCCCGTCTCCCTCTGGCTGAGTCTGGGTCCCCAGGGATTGGCCCAGAACTGGGGTTCAGAGCAGTCCCGACTGAGGCTCAGCGCCGCCGGAGGCCTTGTTTCTTCCGGCTAGGGTAACCCAGCATCAGAGTCAACATTCAGTCCTCTGCGCACGCATTGCGCGTGACTCCGGGACGCCCTGCTTTTCGCTGCTTTTCCACCTCACAGCCCCATCTCCTCCTGCCGGAGCCTGGGTCCCCAGGGTCTGGCCCATAACTGGGGCTCAGCGCTGCTGGTTCGGGGGGCTCAGTGCTGCCGGTTCGGGGGTCCAGCCCAGGCTGGGGGTTTTATTTCCTTCCTGCTAGGAAGGGAAAGGCAGCACCCCGCCCTCTCCTCCTCTCCGGCTGTGACCTTTCCGCGCACGTGCGGGCGGATGCGCAGCATGTCTCCGTACCTTAGGCTTTTTTTTTTTTCAGCTCCTCTGATTTTCTTTCTGGTTTTCTCTTTCCTTCTTGTTGTAGAAATTTCAGTCAGTCGACTACCTGTAGCTCTGGGCAATGTCCGCTCTACATCTTAGTTGTATTCCATTGAAATTGTTGTGTGCTGCCGCGGCTAGACGTCTACCCGAGCAGCCATCTTGGATCTCTCTCTACTAGATTTTTTAACAATAAAATTTACCATAATACGACTTAATTTATATTTTTTCTAAAAATGCTCTTTATATTTTCAATTTGGTTTTTAAAAAAAGTTAAGTTCTTTATTGTTTAAAGTATTACTCCAGGGATGGACTTTTATGCCTGCTAAACTTGGAGAACCAGTCACTGAACGAAATGTTATTTTCTAGCTGCTCTTAGCTTTTGTAAGAGGAGGGGTTGGTCTCAGGCCTGTGTCGAATCTTAGGTCAGGGGATGACCAAGCTAGACACAAGACCATTTCCTTTGTTCTTGCCAAAGGAGTCTGTGCTGTGGCCGGTCTCTTCCTGTGTAGTTCTTATGAATTTATTGATTTTAAAGAGAGAGAAGGAGCACGCTAGGGGATGATGATGTGGAGAAAGTGGCTGCTCACCTTGGGACACACAGTGGGAGAACAAAGCCAGGGGACTCCTACTCTGGATTAGCACCCTAGTTGGGACAAGTCGGAACCGTCATCAAAGGCTTTCTTGTGCTTGGAGCCTTTCGCTGCTTTGGGTAGCAGATGGGGCTTGGGGAGGGGGCTGCCACTTGAAAGCCTATTGCACAGACAGGTCTGGTGCTAGAGGAGGCTGCCTGGAAGCCAGCCGGCCACTCTTCTTCTAGGCACTAGTGAGACTGAACTTCCACGTGGAAGTGATGGTGCCTGGGTGGCTTGAAGCCCTGGACTGACTTCTGCTACATGTGGCTTTAGCCCACGCTATGAAGAGTACAGGCAGTGGACCTTGTCTGGCCTGAGGCTGGAATCTTTGCTCCTCACTTTGCAGAGCGGCTACTCTCCTGTGTTAAGTTTTCTGGTGGGTAAGCAGGTCAGAAAGTCTCATGAAGGAGACTCGTCTCTCATGGTGTGAGTGCTTTGGGCATGACCAGGGCGTATCCCAGGTCCAGCACTTCCCAATCAGTGCACTTGTAGGTGCTCATCCTAACAGGTTTTAGGGCAGGCAGACACTGGGATGGAGAGAGGCATGGAGCTGGAAGCTGTTGCTCTGGAGGGCAGAAACGTATGCCGCTTTATTTGTAGGAAGGTACCAGTGGTTCTGTTTGTAGGCCTCTACTGAGATAATTCTCTCCAGCCTTTTACCACTTGGAATTCTCCAAATTCTGTTCTCACCTCTTTTTAGGTTAATGGAAGATGCCATCTTCCTCCTCACAGTTTCTTCCCTTCATTTATTTGGGAAAGGCAGGAAAACACACCTTGGCTCCTGCACCACTCACAGAGAGAGAACGTGGCTTTTCAGCTACCAGGAAAACTACCAGACTGGATTTCAGCAGCAAGGAACAAGAATTGGATCCTGTTAAGTTGTCTTCTACGGTCATTTTTCTCCCCCTTGATTCAAAGCTGCATCTAGGGCAGGGTTTCTCAGGTTTGCTTTCTTTACGAGCCTCCCTCCAAGGGACTGGAAAGTTCTTAGCCAACTTAACAGCCAGATGGTTCTCTCTGTCCACTTCCACTGCGAACTTTATCACTCTCCACCCTCAGCGGGAACAAATCCCCACACGATCCTTGCCTCCGTGTGAGAAAACCCAGAAACCTGGGAGTAAGGCTCCCAAGGACTCAGGCTTCGGGGAAGGAGGGGAGGGGCAGGGTGATTGAAAAGAAAGCAGCCCCCTCGCGGAGGGCGGATCTCCCAACTGGCTCCTTCGGGGAAATGCTGGCGGAGTGTGTGGAGACCCGGGGAGGAAGGGTGTCTGTCCTCACTTCTCCAGCCTACCATTCTTCAGAAAGATAAAACATCAAGGGAAAACGGGGGCGAGTAAAGTTCTGAAAGCAAAGGCCTAGCTCAGGGGAGACGCCAGGCAGGTCCCGCCCACTCTTCCCGCAGGCACTTCGGTCGGACGTGGGAGGTGGGCCGGCCTGCGCACCTTCCAGCCAATCAGAAAGGAGCCTCGCGTTCCCCGGGACCAATAGCGCCGAGCAGACGGTGTAGTGGGAGGAGGCGGGGTGGGGAGAGCGCGAGCTTTGCTGGCCAATCGCTGAGCGCTCTAAGCGGTAGGGGCGGTGCCTCTGGGAACCCGAGGCGGAGCTGTTTCCTTGGCAACGATCCTAACCCAGCGGGACCGGGTGGGGAGGGTGGAGATGAGGAGCAGTGCGGGTAGGCCCGCCGGCGGGGGGCGGTGGAATTCTAGCGGGAATGTGGGGGTGTCCCGGAGTTCCCATGAGTTCAAGGAGGGGCGGGGGCCCGTCCAGGTTTCCGAGGCGCGGCCGGAGCTGACCCCGAGGCCCCAGAGCGAGGGGAGCTAGACGCCGCCCCCGCTGGCGCCGGGCAGCGTCGCTCCTTCCCCTGACCTTGGTCTCGCTTGTCACCTCGCCCTTGGCCGCAGTCACTGACGGGTGGAGAGCTCAGTGGAGGACAGACAGACCCCCGGGCGGACGGAGACCTGGGACACAGGCACACAAACTGCCCCAGGCCCTCCCGCCGGCTCCAGGGCGCTTCGTCCTCGCCCACCTCAGCGGCGGGGCCATCCAGCCCAGGGTTAATGCCAACGAGTTTCCGCCTCCAGCCGCTCCTAGAGAGGCCGCGGCGCGAGCCACCGGGGGAACTGGCCGCGGACGGACACTTCCTGTGCGGGGGAGGGGTCGCAGCCACAGCCCGGCCTGGGGCTGGGGGCCAGACGGCGGGGTCTCGGGCGGGCAGCCGGGCCTGGGGGCAGCAGGGCTAGTCGTGAAGTGCCCCCCGCCTCCGAGGACACCGCGCGTGGGGGCTTGTGAGGGCCCAAAGCCAGCGGAGACCTTGTGGGTGGAGGCGGGGCTCCGGGGAGGGCAGGGGAGGGGCCCGGCCGGCCGGCCAGAGAGGCCCAGGGTCAAGACGTCCGGCCTTGGGGGCTGGGGCTGGGCCGCCGGATCCCCTGGGCGTCGCTGAGGGGGCGGGTGGCGAGGGCCTGGGTCTCGGGGCACTCAGGCCGGGTCGTAGGATCGCTCCGCCATCGCCGCCGCCGCCGCGCTGGGAGCCAGCGGGGATGGAACGGGAGGCGTCGACGTGGGGCCTCGAACCCCGGGATGTGCAAAGTCCTGACGAAGTGGGGCCCGAAGGGTTCCTCAAAGGTGAGGGAGGAAGCGCCCCTCCAAGGATTGTGCCTGGGAGGGGGGAGGGGGCTGTAGTCCGTGGGTGGGAAGGGAAGGGGGATTTGGACCCCTGGGACTTGGAGGAGGTGGGGGCGGGAACTGGGTGTCCTGGGTGTGCCGTGGAGAAGGTGGGAATTTCAGCACCTGCACAGGGGCCAGCGACCATGTTTGAAGAGCAGGGAGACGTTTGTGCAGCTAATTAATGGTGGGACCCAGCGACCTTCCAGGCGCCACACAATCTGGGTTTTCTGTAATTCTCTGATCCTGCAGGCAACATGCGTGAGAATGAGGAAGAGGAAATTTCTCAGCAAGAAAGCACTGGGGACTATGAGGTCGAAGAGATACCTTTTGGGCTTGAACCCCAGAGCCCTGGGTTTGAGTCACAAAGTCCAGAGTTTGAACCCCAGAGCCCCAGGTTTGAAAGCCCAGGTTTTGAGCCCCCAAGCCCTGGGTTTGTGCCCCCAAGCCCCGAATTTGCACCCAGAACCCCTGATTCAGATTCTGAGAGCCCTGAGTTTGAACCACAAAGCCCTACTGGGTATGAGCCCCAAAGCCCTGGGTGTGAACCCCGGAGCCCTGGGTATGAGTCCCGGAGCCCCGAGTTCAAAACCCAAAGCCCCGAATTTGAAGCTCAAACTTCCAAATTCCAGGAAGGTGCAGAGATGCTTCTCAATCCCGAGGAGAAGGATCCCTTGAGCGTCCCCCTGGGAGACCATCCCTTGGACTCCTTCACACAGGGGTTTGGGGAGCAGCCCGCAGCAGACCTTCCCCTGGGGCCACCTTTTGAGATGCCCACAGGGGCCCTGCTGACTACACCCCAGTTTGAGATGCTCCAGAATCCTCTGGGCCTGACAGGAACCCTGAGGGGTTCGGGCCGGCGGGGTGGCCGGGCCAGGGGTGGACAGGGCCCTCGGCCCAACATCTGTGGCATCTGTGGGAAGAGCTTCGGCCGGGGCTCCACCCTGATCCAGCACCAGCGAATCCACACGGGTGAAAAGCCCTATAAATGTGAGGTCTGCAGCAAGGCCTTCTCTCAGAGCTCCGACCTCATCAAGCACCAGCGCACCCACACGGGGGAGCGGCCCTACAAGTGTCCCCGCTGCGGCAAGGCCTTCGCCGACAGCTCTTACCTGCTTCGCCACCAGCGCACTCACTCTGGTCAGAAGCCCTACAAGTGCCCTCACTGCGGCAAGGCCTTCGGAGACAGCTCCTACCTCCTGCGGCACCAGCGCACGCACAGCCACGAGCGGCCCTACAGCTGCCCCGAGTGTGGCAAGTGCTACAGCCAGAACTCCTCCCTGCGCAGTCACCAGAGGGTGCACACCGGGCAAAGGCCCTTCAGCTGTGGCATCTGCGGCAAGAGCTTCTCCCAGCGCTCGGCACTTATCCCCCACGCCCGCAGCCACGCCCGCGAGAAGCCTTTCAAGTGCCCCGAGTGCGGCAAGCGCTTCGGCCAGAGCTCCGTGCTGGCCATCCACGCCCGCACCCACCTGCCCGGCCGCACCTACAGCTGCCCCGATTGCGGGAAGACCTTCAACCGCTCCTCCACGCTGATTCAGCACCAGCGCTCCCACACCGGCGAGCGGCCCTACCGGTGTGCGGTGTGCGGCAAGGGCTTCTGCCGCTCCTCCACGCTGCTGCAGCACCACCGCGTCCACAGCGGGGAGCGGCCCTACAAGTGCGATGACTGTGGAAAGGCCTTCTCGCAGAGCTCCGACCTCATCCGCCACCAGCGGACCCACGCCGCTGGCCGTCGCTGACCGGGGGCCCTGTGGGGTGGGGATGTGGTGGGCAGAAGAGGAGGGGATGGAGTTAGAGAAACCTTTAGAATAGTGGGGAAGCTGGAGGAGTTGAGGATTCTAGGAGGAGAGGGGGCTAGGGAGGAGAAAGTTATATGCCCTGGAGATTTATGGGAAATGGGTAATGAGGGGTTGGAGGTAGGCCAAACAGGCAGCAGGAGGCTCTGGAAGAATCCAGAAAGGTCATCAGAGAGCTGGCCTCAGCAGCAGCATGCCCCTTCGTGTCCGCCTGCTTGGCAAAGTGCTAGATGGGGGAGGGAGAGGGGGGGAGGATTACTTACTTAGAGTGGGGTAGCTTAGTTCCGTAGCTACTGAGACCCTTGTTGAGTCAGGAAGGGGTGAGGGGAAGTGGGGTGGGGAGTGAAGCCCAGAGTGGGGCCTGGGCCTCTGAGTGCAAACCCCAGTCTCCCTTGTCTTCCTCAAGCTTTGGAGCCCCTGGATTTGAGTTCAATAAAACCTCTATGTGGTTAAAGAGCTTTGTCCTCAAAATGTGTGCATGGGCAGTGCCCTGGGCAGTGGGAGGCACTGGGTTATAACCGAAGAGCCGGTGGAGCCACAGGGCCGCGTCTGGGAAGTGCTGTTGCAATAAGTCAGGGTTTCACTGGCTTGGAGGCTCAGGAGAAGTGACTTGCCCGTATCTGCCCCAGTCATCGTCCACGCTTTGAATGCTGCACAGACACACAGGAGCCTGTTGTGGGTTTGAGAAAGCCTTTCTACTCTGTGGCTATCCCTCTTCCCAAACAGGGAGGGTCTGCCCTTGGGCCAGAAAACAGACCCTGATTCTCATATCTGGGCAAGGAGCCCATGGACCATTCCTCCCCAGCTGTGCTGCTCCCCCACCCCACTCCCCAGCCCCACACCCCACCAGCTGCAGCCGCTAGCCAGCGCTCTGCAGATCCTGCCGCTGACCAGAACTTCAAGTTTCAACCCCATCCACAGGGGTCTTTGTATTGGACCCAATACGAGGGTTGGATGTCAGTGGTTAAGACCCACCCACCAGGCTGGCCTGATTTGCCACACGTCTGCCTCCTTTTTAGGATCCCTGTACCTTTCCATGGGATCACCCCGTTACCACCCCATCTTTATCCTACTTTCCCTCTGAGCCTCAGCCCTTCTAACACTTGGCTCCTTAGGAAAGGATGGGAAATTGATGCCATCAGTGATTGGGGATGGGGGATGGGATGGGGGGGAGGTGAGGGAGGATTCTGGGGCGTGGCCTGTGATACCTTAGCAGAGGGGACAGGCCATGCCTTGGGGAGGCACCTGGCTGCTAGGCACATCTTGAGATGAACTGCTAAGGGCCTGACAGTTCCCTGTGGAGGTTTATTTATTTCACAGATGAGGAAAACGGAGCTCACAGAACTTAAGTGGCCTGTTCAGAGTTACTCTGTGACTTAAGAGGCAGATAAGACATTCGACCAGGTCTTTAATAAACATTATGCACATTTTTATAAAGACACCCTGCCATACAAAATTTCAAATATTAAAATACTCTGACTCCTATATGTAATATAGTTCACATATGTAAGTATATACATAGAACTGCATTTCACTACCTGAAATACTATATTTGGAGACATTACTTAAGTGTTTTTTTCTATTACACAATTTAATTTTCATATTTTGGAGTTGATTCTTTTTTCAGCTTCCAAATATGTTCATATCCTTTTAATCCGGTCACGGTGCTTGTGGTGCTTAATTGATAAAGTAGCTTGTACACACAAAACATCCTATCTAATAAAAGAGTAATATGCAAATTAACCATCACTCCACAGCAAAATGGCGGTGCCCATAGCCACAAGATGGCGGTGCTCAGTCCTCTTAGCCCTGCAGGAGTCCCCAAGTCCGCCCAGTGGCGGCAGTCCAGGGTGTCGAGCAGGGAGGCACCTGCCACCCAATCAGCGATCCCCACCCAGTGGCCGCAGCCTGGGGTGTCCAACTGAGAGGCGCCAGCGCCCTGCATGATCCCCAGGCAGCAGCAGCAGCCAGCCTGTGCTGGGGTCTCAGGCCAGCAGGGCCATGCACCCCCACTGCACAATCTTCAGTCCAGTGGCAGCCTGGGCTGGGGTCTCAGGCCAGCAGGGCCACATACCCCTGCCATGCCATCTTCAGGACAGCGGTGGCAGCCTGGATTAGGGCCACGCACCCCCACCTAGGGATCCCCACCTTGAGATGGCTGCCTGGGCTGGGGTCTCAGCCTGGACAGGGTGTGATCCCCTTCCAGCAGTGGCAGCCTGGGGTCTAAACCATTGAGTCACACCAGCCAGGCAGATATAGAGGAATCTTAAATGTTTCTTTAAAAAAAAAAAATATATATATATATATATATATATATATATATATATATATATATATAATTTTTTACAGAGAGGAAGGAAAAGGGATAGAGAGCTAGAAACATTCATGACAGAGAAACATCAATCAGCTGCCTCTTAGACACTCCTATCTAATAAAGAGGGAATATGCAAGGGAGGGCATTTTGGGGTGACTAGGGTGTCAGGGGAGGGCAGTTGGGGATGATCAGGCTGGCAGGGGAGCAGTTAGGCATCAATCAGGCTGGCAGGGGAGTGGTTAGGGAGTGATCAGGCTGGCAGGCAGAAGTAGTTAGGGGCAATCGGGAAGGCAGGCAGGTGAGTAGTTGGGAGCCAACAGTCCTAAATTGTGAAAGGGATGTCTGACTGCCTGTCCCACGGATCAGGTCTAAACAGGTAGTCATACATCCTCCAGATTGGAGAAGGTGCAGGTTGGGCTGCAGGACACTCCTGCACTCCCCCCCACCTTGTGCATGAATTTCGTGCACTGGGCATCTAGTACTATATAATAAAGAGGTAATATGCAAATGAACTCTCACACCCTCACAAGATGGCTGCCTACAACCAGGTCAGCAGGGGAGTTAGTGAGGGACAACCAAACAACTGAACAGCAGGCTGTGTGGGGTGACCAGGCCAGCAGGGGGGGGCAATAAAGAGTGACCAGGTCAGCGGGGGGGGGCAGTTAAGAGTGACCAGGCTGGCAGGGAGGGAGCAGTTGGGGGGCAATCAGGCAGGCAGGCAGGTAAACAATTAGGAGCCAGCAGTCCAGGATTGTGAGAGGGATGTCTGACTGCTGACAGTCGGATATCCCCAAAGGGATCCCGGATTGGAAAGGGTGCAAGCTGGGATGAGGGAACCCCCCCCACCCCACTGAGCATGAATTTTGTGCACCGGGCCTCTAGTTAGTATATAAAAGCTGATCAAATGAGGGTGGGGCTCAGCCCCCACCCCTTTCTCTTGTGACAATTCCCGAGGTACCTCCAGATCCCAGGTCGGGCAGACCAGACCCAGGAAGAGCATGCATCTTCCCAAGATCACGGTGGGAGAGCCAGAACTCCAGCAGCAGCTGTCTTGACTTGCGGTCCAGGATGCTGCTTGTACCACACCATCCTGCACACCAAACCACTACTCTGCCCAGTTATCAGGCTGCTGGGCTGGGAACAGGGACCCACAGTATCCAAGTGCTATTTAAGGCTCATCGCAGCTCTGAGATGGAGTAAAAGTGGATGCACAGTTTTGAGAATGTGAAACACAGAGTTTATTCTTATATTGTTATTTATTATTTTCCATACAAATAACTGCAAATCTACTTCTGCCCACCCCTGTACAGTTATTTCTATTTTACAGATGAAGAAATGAGTCCCAGAGAGAATTATTGCCCCACACCACACAGCAGAGCTGGATTCAGACCCAGGGCTGACTGGGTTTTGCCTCCTTTTATATCAACACTAAGATGACACTTTGTCACCATGTCCCTCCCATGAGTGGAGTGTTTCCTGGAGGTGCGTGCTTCGTCATGGCAGATTCATCACTCACATGTGCTGTGTGGCATGTAGGCTTGCGTGTTACGACTCACATTTATCTCCATTTAATTTCTAACTGGATGCAACTAGATGTAACCCATGTAAAAAAAAAAAAAAAAAAAAGGCTCTTTGGGGATCCTCAATAATCCCTAATTGTATAAAGAGGTCCTGAAACCAAAACATCTGAGGGCCACATTGAACGCTTCCTTTGTGCCAGCCCTGGTGAGGGTCAGTGTTGGCAACATACCCGAGTGAGGCCTGCGACCTGCCTTCCAGAACCTCCTACTCTCGAGACAGGAGCCCACACAGTCAGTGTGATGTGCTCCAATGAGGTATGAACAACGTGCTGTGGGCTGGGTACTTCTGCCCAGGAATTGTGGGATTGAGGACAGCTGTGAAGCCGGAGGGTTTTCCTGGCTGGAAAAGGGTGGAACTGCACGTGCCGGTGAGGGGAACAGCATGTGCGAAGGCACAGAGGCGGCGGGAAAGGACACAGCTCTGCGAGGACAGGTGCTGGTAAGGAAGGTGGGAGACCTGGGGGTGAGATGGCAGGTCTGGTCCTAACTAAGCCTCCAGATCGTTTTAAAACAATTAATTTAAAAAATATTTTCTTTTTAGAGAGGAAGGGAGAGAGAGAAGCATGGATGTGGCTGGCCGCTTCCTGCACTCCCCCTTACTGGAAACTTCCAAACATGTTCCAGAGGTCGAAACCCTGGGCATGTGCCCTGACTGGGAATCGAACCAGCAACCTTTTGTTGCACTGGATGTCACCCAACCAACTGAGCCACACCGGCCAGGGCAAGCCTCCCACATCTTCTGTGCTTTTTTGCTTCCAACCTGGATGCTAATATGGACATTCCCCCCACGTCACAGAATCACCTCTTTAGAGAGCCTTTCCTTTCCTGACCGCCTACCTGAGCGGACTCTCTCCCTCACCCTCTCACTTGGTATCCTCACTCATTTCTTCTCAGCCCTATCACTACCTGGAAGCATATTTCCACTTTTTTCTCGATGGAGTGAAGCTTCCTGAGGCATGTTCACCCCATGTACTCAGAGCACAGAACAGAGTAAGACACAAAGCATTCAAAGAAATGTCATGTGAGTGAGCACAGCCTGACAGGCTTCCCCTGCAGACACTCTGTCCTCTTAGTAGTTCTGTGATAGTCCTGAGTTAAAGGGACCACGAGAGGGCAGCAGTGACTGGCCCCTCTGTCCGTCTAAAGGAGGGGCCTCAGGGTTTTCAAAAAAGGGAGAGTCTGGTCTGCTCTCACCTCTTAGTAAGTTGTCAGTGCTTCCCCGGCCTTCCTCACTTCCTGTGTCTCTCTCCGCTTCTCTTTTGAATTAGCCCACAATAGCTGGTGAGGCCAGTCTTAGGGTCCTCACAGAAAGAGAGATGAGAGAGAGAGAGAGAGAGAGAGAGAGAGAGAGAGAGAGAGAGAGAGAGAGAGAGAGAGAGAGAAGAGCTGTTCTGGTCCCACTTAGCGAAAGGGTTGAGAAGAAAATGTTCACTTAATGAGCGGGGCTGGAACATGGCTCCAGCACAGAAACATCACCACATTGGACAGACTTTCCCATTTATTGGCACTGGGGGCCAGGTCCCCACCCTGAGCTCAGGTCTCACAGGGGAGCCGGTGGGGGCGTGAGTCCTGCGGGGCTGTGGAGTAGGCGCTGTGGAAGGCTGAGCCTTAAGAGGGATGCCATGGTCCCACCCAAACTTCCTCCATCTCTCACAGGCTCCCTCCTTAACGGAGTGACATGTGTCAAGCACCTACTCCGTGCCAGCCTGTGATATCACCAGGATTCCAGGTACAGTGCCTACCCTGGAGCTCCTGCTGGATCTGAGACGCGGATATGAAATAAATCCTTCACAATGAACACATGGGATCCCAGCTCTGACGGACAATTAATTGCAGGCTAGCGTCAGCATGCATGGTGTGGGAACCCAGATGAGCCAGGGCGGGCTGCCCTGGGGCATAGAACAGAGTAAGACACAAAGCATTCAAAGAGAGATCTGAAGAGTGATGGGAGTCAGCCGGGAAGAGGGAGGAAGGAGGGGGCAGAGCAGGCTGGGTGAAGGCAGCGAGGCAGGACAAAGCTGTGTAACCGGAGCTTAGCAGGGAGGGGGAGGGCTCTGCCGGAGGCAGGGAGGCAGGGGCCCTTTGGCGGGCACCCTGAGGCTGTTTTGCAGGTTTGGGAGGCACAGGAAGGAATTCGGTCTCTAGCTAAAGCACAAGGGTTTGCGGCAGGAGCGGTGACACAGGTCAGATCTGCTCTCTGGCGCAGAATGGAGGCCTGGCTCCGGGCAGGAGAGAGCGGGCAAGGCTCTGGAGCCCGAGGCCTCTGCAGACCGCGGGCAGGTGGGTTGAGGGCTGGCAGTGTCACCATTTCTCCAAATTTAGATCAGCCGCTCTTCCAGGGAGGAAGCTAAGCCAGGACCAGCTGGTATCCACAGGCCTCACCTTGGCAGCTTCCTGGCCGGTCCCTTGGAGGCAGGCAGGAGTGAGCTCCATGTTCAAGACTGAAACAGGGGACTGAGGAGGGGCAGACTGGTTAGAGGAGCGGTCGCCAACTGGTGGTCTGTGAGGTCCGAAAGGTTGCGACTGCTGGACTAGAGGACACAGTGACATGCAGGCAGAGCAGAGTGGCACCAGCACCCCCAGTCCGGCGCCAGGCCCTCCGCCGGCCTGGCTCAGTCTGTGCCGCCTCCGTCCAGGGCCGTCTCCTTGGGGAGGAGATCCACGCAGCTCGGGTCCGTGGCCTCTTCCTCAGACGCCAGCTGCCCAGGGCCTTCTCCAGGGACCCCGTTGGCGGCATCGGCGGTGGCCTCCATCTTCTCCTTCAGGTTCCGCTTGAAAAAGCCGACCTGTAGGAAGAGCGGGACTGAGTGAGCAGACGTCCATGGGGCACAGCTGGTCCAGGCAAAGCATGAAAGCACCCTTTATGTTAATTATCCGTGTGAGCCATGACACGTGGTGTCTGCTCCAGGGACGGGCGAGAGTGTCCGCCACACCTGGGTCTTGGCAAAATGCTAAAAAGCTGTACATTTCCTGATTCATTAAAAAAAAAAATTACATATAGATTGATTTCAAAGAGAAAGGGAGAAGGAGAGAAAGAAAGAAAATCATCAATGATGAGAATCATTGACTGGCTCCCTCCTACATGTCCCTTATTGTATTGGAGATTGAGCCCGCAACCCAAGTATGTGCCCTTGATCAGAACCAAACCTGGGATGCTTCAGTCAGCAGGCTAACACTCTATCCACTGAGCCAAACCAGCCAGGGCCACTGGTTCATTTTTTTGACTCAGGAAAACGCCAGGTACCAATACTTTAGGTGGGTGGCTTGGGGTGCATATTATAATATCTAGTAATATTAATAAGAGCCGATGCTTATACAGCGCTTAGTATGCATCATGTGGTCTCTGTTGAAAGCTCCAAACATATACATTATTTGGCTCAGCGATTCCAGGGCTGGGAATTAATTTGAAAGAATATTTGGAGCAGTGTGCGAAGGTGTGGGTAACAAGAACCTTGAAACAGGTGTAAGTTACAAACAATCTAAATGTTCCCCAGCAGAGAACGTGCTAAATACTCGGGGGGCACCCGTTGGGCAGGGAACCGCTGGTTACAAAGCGAGAAGCAGGCATAACTGTGCTCAGATGGGAGGGCGTTGAGGTATAACACTGGGGATAATATGAGTTTCCAGGTGGTAACACAGTCTAATCCATTCGCGTTTCCTATACACACACACACACACACACACACACACACACACACACACACACGCTGATTTCTCCCTCTCACGCTCACACATACACACAAGTTGACAACAAAACCACAACCTATGGGATAGAAACAGAAAGGTTGTTTTAATGACAGCCCTCTGGGGGTTCAGTAGAAAGAAACTTTAGTTTTTGGTCCTTTCCTGGAACGTGTGCATGTTTCCAGGCCACACTGCCCTCCAGCCCCGTCCTCTTGCTAACTTCCACTCCCCCTTCATCCCAGTCCGGGCCCGCTCCCCGGAGGCCCACATGAGGCTGCCGAGCCACAGGCTCCAGAGCACGCAGGCCTGAAGGGGAGCCCCCGTCACATGTCCCTGTGTCTCCCCCAAGAGACTGTGAGCCCCACAGAGGCAGGGCCATGCTTGTGGCACGCTCCTCTGCACCCCAGTGCCTGGCTCTGGACATGTGGGCGAGCGCTTCTTCCTCCCCCTGGCCCCCACCCTGCCTGGGCAGGCTCGGGGAGTGAGGGGGGGAAATCTCTGGGCCTCAGTGGCCTTATCTGTAGAAGGAGGGAGTAGGCTGAGACCCTTCGAGGCGCTGATGCTCCGGGCCTCGCCATTCTCCTCCTGGCTCTGCCATTCCCCACCCCCGCCTGTCTGCTCAGCCAGGCCCGTCCTTCCAGAAGCTCCCACCTTGTAGAGCGCCAGGAAAATCAGCAGCAGCAGCAGCAGCCCGCCGGCGCCGCTCAGCACGTAGAGATAGAGCATGTCCTTCTCGTACACGACATCCACCTTCAGGATGACCTGGGAGGACAGAGGAGGGAGTCAGAGAAGAAGCCCCGACCCCAAGATGTCTAGTGAGTCTGGCCTCAGACTCCAGGTCTCCGAATCTCCAGTCTGGACTCTGTCGCACCAGGCTCTGACCCAGGCCCTCTCCCCACACACCCCTGCCGTGGCCACCAGCGTGAGCTGGCGAACACGCACACAATTCGAGGCGGCTGCCCTCAGCGCCAGGAGGGAACGCCAGCATCGCAGCTCAGCCTGCACAGCCTCCCCGAAGGCTCTGCTCACCTCTTTAGCTGAAACTTCCCTTCTGTGCTGAGCCTTCTGCTCCTAACCCGCCCGCCCCTCTCAATCCGGCCCTGCCACTGCTGCCTCCTGCCTTGGCCTTCGGTCCTGCTCTGCCTGGGGCCTGGGCCGCTTTGCTGAGCTGCCTCCAAATCCATCTTTATTGACGCATCTCGGCCAGGTAGCCTCGCCGTCTGCTTGCTTACCAGCGGCGTGAGAGCCCTCGGCTTCCGCGAAGCCTTTGCCCAGGCTGGTGCTCTGGCTGTGGGAGTTCCCTCTGTGCCAGCCCACACCTCCCCTGGGCTGCCACTGCCAGCTCTGCCCCTGCCCCTCGGGCCTCTCCGCTGACCTCTGCTCCGGGGCCTCCTATGCTCCGGAGGTGAGCATACCTGGGCCAGGGAGGCGTTGCTGCTGTAGAGGTGGAAGTGCCTGCTGCTGTTGAAGGAGACGGAGAGGGAGCTGCAGAGGCTGATCATGGAGGAGGCCTGTGGGAGGGAGAGGCATCAGGGCCCAGCACAGACCCAAGTGCCGCTCACTCCTGCCCCACCTCCACCTAGGGCGGAAGCAGAGGAGAATGGGTCCGAGCAGTGCATGGCAGCCAGCCGGTTGTGGGTTCTGCAGCCTCGTGTGCCACCCCCACTGCTGGAAGGAGCTTCCCCATAAAGAACCATGAAAACAGCCTGCAAACATGGAGCATGTCATGGTTCTCTTTCATCTGCAACTGCATAAACATCAGGACTTTTCAAGATAAAAACAGGAAACTCAGAAAGACATCGGTGAGAACCCCCATCCCATCCCCTCCCCCCCCTCCTGTCTCGCCAGCAGCGCTACCTTGATCTCCCCCACCAGCTCCACAGTCCCGGTCACTCGGACGAGGATCTCTCTCTGGAAGGCCACTGGGCAGCGGAACTGGGCTCCAGGCAGGCAAGGCTGCTGGGAACAAGGAGAGCAGGGGACTGAAGGGCCAGTCTTCCGCCTGCACGTTGCCCCCCTCCCCCCTTACTCGCATGTCCCTACCTCAGCCACGTTGGCTGGCCTTTCCAGGCTCTCACTGTGACAGGCGACAGGAGGCTCCTAGGGATGAGGATCCGTTAGTCCAGAGCTGAGAGGAATGGCCTTCCCCTCTGGCCCAGGCAGGCCCTGGCATTCCGGTTCTCTCCGCCTGGCCCTTGGCACTCAGACACCACTGAGAGGGCAGGACTCATTTCTCCTCACTCCCTCCCCAATCTGTACCTGCTCCGACCCAGCCCCTCAGCCCTGGGCGTGCTCCCCTCTGGCAGCACTCACCATCTGCACGGCCCACGTGTGTTTGATGGGCCCTTCGCTCGGAGGCCCTGGCACCCCGATCAAGGCCTCCAGGGCGGGCACGTGGGGGTCATGGACAAACGGCTGGATCTTCACCTGGTACAGAGGACAAGTGGCTGCTGAGCCCTGAAGCCAGCCACCCTCGTGCCCTCCAAGCCCAGTGCTCACTGGCTGAGGCCACTCCTCAGGCTGAGGGCACCACCCGCCCTGTCGTCAGTGACTTGTGCGGGTCCCATGTGCTTCTCTGCCTTCTCCCCATGGCACACCTCCCACGTCCTGCGAGTCACTGCTCAGATACCATCTTGGAAGTCTGCCTCACGAACAGGGTGCTCCCCACGCCTGTGCTCCCCACGCCTGTGCTCCCACGCCTGTGCTCCCCATGCCTGTGCTCCCACAGCGCTCCACACCCCCGGCGGGATGGCCACGGGTCTGCTCAGCGCCCATATGTCTGCGGGGCTGTGGGCTCTGAGAGCAGGAGCTGTGGTTTATTTCACCCGCGTGCCCTACTGCTTGGCACAGAGACCAGCACAGAACAGGCCTCAGGAAAAGTCATTTTCTGAATGAGCAAAAGCATGAATGACATTTAACAAGGCTAGATGCAAGAATTATTTAGCCAACGAGGCTTGGGAAAGGCTCGTTTTGGCAACTGCATTTAGGAAACATTTCCTGAGTGTTTTGTACAAAAGAGCCAGCCGCCTGTGCTGTCCCAGAAAACTGCAGTGCGGGCTGAGAGCGCAGAAAGGGCCAGGGGACAGCAGGGGCCGGGCCCCCGGCCAGACCCCGTCTAACTGCCCTGCAGCCTCGGTCCCGGGGGCTGCGCAGACGTGACCATCAGGGCCCTCCGTGCTGTGGCTCGTACCTTGTAGACGTGTTTGACCTGGTGGGTCTTGGTCCCCTTGGGGGTGAAGATTATGTAGCGTGTGGAGCTTTCCTGGCTGTGGAGAGAGGAGCGGAGGTAGAAGGTGGAGAGGACAGCAACCCAGAGGCAGCCAGGGCTGGCCACGGAAGCCTCTGGGTGGCCAGCACTGGTGGGGACCTCGCTGGCACCTCGGAATCCTTACAAGATCCCGCTATTTCCCTTCGGAGGCTAAGGCTGGCGGGAGGGAGCAGCCTCTTGCCCAGAGTCCTGCAGGGAAGGGCCAGGACCGGACCCAAAAAACCTATGGAGCCATATTCTCCAGCACACACCACTCCCAGGTCTCCCGTGCTGTCCACTGCTCATCGCCTGCGCAAGTGCGCCAGCCCCGGCTGCCTGCCACCCATCTTTCCCTTCCTCACAGCACCCTGGATCCTGCCACTCACCACACAGAACCCATGAGAGGCTTCCAGCCTCCACAAGGTCAGGTCCAAAGCCAGATCCCGGTCTGGCTGCCTGCTGGCCCCGCACAGACCCGCCTTCCCCCGAGTCCCCGTTCCTGCTCCCAGATCTGCAGGCTGCTGGCTGCTCCAGGCCTTCTCCAAGCTGCTGTCCCTGAGGAGTGTCCCCTCCTCCCTGGCCTGGTCCTCATGCTCCAAACCCCGGTTCAAACCCTGGTTCCCTGCCCCTTCCACCTCTCCTCCACCCACACCATCCTTCCCGGCTCTAACGTGTCTGACAGTGTCACTGTGTCCGGCATTGGTTTCAGAAGCACCGGAGACGCTGGCTCAGGCCTGGCCCTGCGCTCAGCTCAATGAGCTCCTCCACTTTTCTGCTTCATCTCCTTTTCTGCAAACGCGAAAATCCACCTGTGACCCCTGAGCCTTCCTCCCACAATATCCTGAAGCCACTGCTCCCGTGGGCGCAGAGTTCGGTCTGTTATCCCAGTGTCAGCGCTGAGCGGGCAGAGCACCTGAGTGCTTCTCGCCCACCTCTGCCCGCAGCGCTGGCAGGAAGGCAGGGTGCCCGGCACCGCTGAAAACGAGAGCTCGGCTGGGTCTTGGACTCAGACTCAAGCTCAGAGTCCGGCGCCAGTGCTTCCCAGCCGTGGACTCTGAGCCTCCGTTTGCTCATTGGTGAAATGGGGGCACAGCTGCTCCCCAGGCGCTGAAAGCCCCGGGAGAGCCGTGGGCAGAGCAGTGCCGCCCCAGGTCTGCGGAGGTCACATCCATGTGCCTTTTCATCCCCCAGAAAACGGTGATCTGACTCAGAGCTCTTAAAGGGCCTTCGCTCTTTTGTGCGTGGAAAACTGATGACCCCGGGGAGAGAGGGACGACCCTGGACCAGGGCGGGGCTTTGAGGGACAGCGGGGAGGCAAGGTCTGGGCCCTGGGTGGGAGGGAGACTCACTCCTCCGTGAGGATGTTGATGGGGAACAGGACTGGGACGCTGGTGGTGGCTGAGTTGTCCTCCAGGAGGTCCGGCTGCTCATTGTCACTGCGGGGCAGGGAAAGGCCGGTTAGGAGCGGGCTCAGCCTGAGCTGCAGGGCACTGAGTCCGGGCGGGGTGTGGGCTGCCTGGGCCTACTCACCAGCTCACATTGGCGTGCAGCGTGACAGTGTCTCCCCAGGAGCTGTTCAGCAGCGTGTGAAACATCACCTGGATATCAACCTGGCAGGGAGGGTGGGTGAGGGAGGGCCTGAGCCCCGGGGCACCACACAGCCCCCAACCCAACCCCATAACGGCATCACTGAGCTGCCGCCCACGAGTGCTCACTGCGCCGCCCGGCCTGAGCACTCACCGAGCTGCCGGCCTTAAAGATGGGAGAGCTCACGTTGCAGGAGAGGCCTCTGGTGGGAAGCCAGGGCTCCTCCTCCGGCAGCTCCTGGCAGCTCAGAGGCAGCTGGCTGTGGGGCTGGGGTGAGGAGAGAGAGGACAAGTGTTTTAGTGGCCAAGGCGAAGGGTTCCCAGGGGCCGCTGACCCTCAGCTCTGCCCCTTTTGGGCACATTTTCTGGGTGGGGCCAGAGAAGAGGGGCACAGAGAGGGTTAGTGCAGGGTATTGACAATAGGGAGAACCGAGAGTGATCGAGCCCTCAGAGAGGCAGGAATGGTGCAACCGATTGTGATGCCGTCACAGGAGAGGATATTGTGAGGGTATCACGCTGCTCTTACAGCGACACATCCCGCCACCATTTTTTATTTATTTATTTATTTATTTATTTATTTTATTGATTGTTTTTACAGAGAGGAATTGAGAGGGATAGAGAGCTAGAAACATCGATGAGAGAGAAACATCGACCAGCTGCCTCCTGCAAACCCCCTATCGGGGATGTGCCCACAACCAATGTACATGCCCTTGACCGGAATCGAACCTGGGACACTTCAGTCCGCAGACCGACGCTCTATCCACTGAGCCAAACCGGTTTCGTCCCGCCACCATTTTAAAAGCACTTGATGGAAGCAATGCAGCACCATTCCTCGTCATCACACTCTGCGAGGACAGGGGTCGGCCGCAGGTGGGGAAGGGAACTCGATAAGGGAATAGAGGCCGGGAGGTGAGTGACTTGCTCAAGGTCTCACAGCGAAGGAAGCTGGCAGGGATCTGGCAGGGACAGGAGCACAGGCCTGTCTGACTCGGCATCTCAAGTTCTTTGTCACTCTGCCAGATGCCCCTTGGGGAAGCACTGGGTGCTGCTGTGTAAGAACAGGCCAGTGTCCACGGACAGGTGAGTGGGAAAGTGTGCTCTGTCCCTGCCACGGGAAAGCACCTGGCCTTAAGATGAGTGAACGTTACACGTGCTGTCACATGAACCTCAGCAAGTCATTGTGAGTGAAGTCATACAGGCACAAAAGGACAAGTGTATGATCCCTCTCATAAGCAATATCCAGAATAGGCAAATTCAGAGGTAGAAAGCAGAGTCACAGGGGCAGAAGAGGGGAACAGGAAGTTATTGCTTAAGGGTACAGAACTTCTGAAATGATGAAAGAGTTCTGCAAATAGATCTCGGTGATGGTTGCACAACATCATGAATGTACCCAAGACCACTGAACTGTATGGTTAAAATGGTAAGGTTTATATTACACATGTTTTACCACACTAAAAACATTAAAAAAAAATATGGGGGGAAGTGCCATTGTAGTAAAAAAACAAATATTGAATAAATAAATTGATAAATTGTCCTAACTGTTTTTGGCTCAGTGGATAGAGTATTGGCTTGCAGACTAAAGAGTCCCAGGTTCGATTCCAATCAAGGGCATCTGCCTGGGTTGAGGGCATAATTTCCAGTAGGGGGTAAGCAGAAAGCAGCTGCTCAATAATTCTCTCTTATCATTGATGTTTCTATCTCTCCCTCTCCCTTCCTCTCTGAAATCAATAAAAATATATAATCCTATATAATAAAAGCCTAATATGCTAAGTTCTAACTGTTAGTTCTACCATTCCACCAGTCTCTATGATGTGCTCTGACCACCAGGGGGCAGATGCTCCAACCAGTAGGTTAGCTTGCTGTTGGGGTCTGGCCAATTGGGACTGTGCGAGATGGACTGGACATGCCCTGTAGCCCTCCCACAGGCCTTTCCTGCCCGACTGTGCACCAACGGAGTCCTTCGGCCTGGCCTGCATCTTCTCGAAATCAGGGACTTCTTGGGGGATGTTGGAGTCCGGTTTTGGCCTGGTCCCCGCAGGCCAGGCTGAGGGACCCCAGGAATCTGTGCACTGGGCCTCTTGTATATATACAGTATATATATATACACACACACACACACAACACACACACACACACACATATATGATGCAATTTGTATGTATAAACAGAAGGACAAATACCAAAATAGTCAAAGTGGTAATTGCTGAGCTGGAGAAGTCTGGGTGCTTACCATCTTTAAACGTTTCTATAATTCCTGAGTTTCTGTGGGGATCACGTATTACTTTTGTAATCATAATTTTAAAAATGCAAGTTGTATTTAAGACAACCAGGCCTTAAAACCCATTGGCCACCTGGAGGAGGGCGGGAGGGTCTCACTGACCCTGTGCGCATGTTCTTGCTCAGCGGGTCCCAGAGCCTCTGCCTCAGGACCCTCTCACACCCTGAGGGTGTCCTCACCCCCATTTGGTGGTGGGGGAATCTGAGACTCAGAGAGGGGAACCTTGTATCTCAGGCCACACAACTGAGGATGGCCATCGGGCTGTGACCCCAATTATGGCCCGAAGACCTGTGCTTGTGGCTGCCCGCGCCCGGCTGCTGGGTGCCCAGAGGGGCAGAGGCTGCAGGGACGGGCAGGGGATCCGGGGCTCGGCCTCCTCTCACCTTGAGCACCTCCACTTTCCTGAAGGACAGTCCCCAGGGGAAAGCCAGGCGGAGCTGGACCCAGTAGGCGTCTTCGCCCGAGTTACTCAGAGTCAGCTCCACGGCGAGGCTGGCCGAGGGGGTCAGCCGCAGGGCCTTGGATCTGGGGGAAGACCGGGGAAAGTTATGGGGGTTAAAGTGAAGGAAGCGGGATCGGAGGCCGGCTTGCGGCATTGCGGAGTCCAGAAAAAATAAACCCCAGAAACAGCTCCTGCCCCAGGCCTGACGCTTTGCAACTGCGTTCAACCCTGACAGGAGAGCCGCGGCACTGGCATTCTCAGGGAAGGAAACAGGCCCAGTTAACACCTCCAGTGAGGCGGATTGGGCCGTCCGGGGGAACAGGAGGGGAGCCTTATGGACCTCGCGGGGGAGAAGGACAGCTGCAGGTTGGCCTCGCATTTCTTGTCCTCGCCACAGTTCTTCTCGAAAGGGATCTGGAAGGCAAGAAGAAAGGACCGGGAGGCTCAGGCCCCACATCCGGGAGGGCCTGGCACCGGCTCTCCGTCAGCCACTCTCCCCTCTTACCTCCTTGGTCTCCGAGTGGGGCGCGGGTCTCAGGATGGGCCGGATGTCCTTGCCCTGGAACACGGGGGAGTGGGGGGGCAGGAGCGGTTAGTTGAGGCATCAGAGCTTGTGGAGGGGCAGGGAGTAGCTCAGTGCTCGGCTCAGCTGGGCCAGCTGTGGCCGCCCCTCCCAGGGTGGGGCCCACCCCCCGGAATCAGCCCGAGGCCGTCTGAGCAGTCCTCCTCTGGTGTAGCTCCTTGGGGGGCTGCAGACCAGGGTGTCCATCCCCTCTCTGGACAAGAGGCCAGGCCTGACCACACAGCCACACAGCTCCTCCCGGCCATCTCCTTCCCTGGCAGGAATGTCCTCTGGGCTCATCTGCTCACGACTGCTTCTGTGCTCCCTCTGGGACTCCCAACGCCCCTGCAACCGCTCTCTAGATCAAGGTCAGTTTTTGCAATATTTCCAGAGCTCCCGCTCTGGGCCAGGCCCCATGCTGGGCACTGGGCATGCACCAAGAACCCCATGGACACACTCTGCCCTCCCAGTCTGGTGGGAGAAACGACCTGGCATCCTCAGGGTTACGGTGGGCAGGGGAATCTTTAGATCATGTGGGGGTGGGGGTTGGCCTTTCTGAAGGAACGGCCTCTCCAATGAAGTCTGAAGGATGAGCAGGAGGGGCCAAGGGAAGGACATGGCGCATGTCCGGATTTCGGGCTCAATCCTCTGTGCGGGGCATCCAGGAGGCAGCCGATCAATGATTCTCTCTGAAGTTTCTATCTCTCTCTCCCCCTCCCTTCCTTTCTGAAATCAATAAAAAAATATTTTTAAATAAATAAATAAAGTAGAGCCTCCATTTAAAAAATCTGGTTACATGACCATATGCATTTCTCAGCCTGCTGTAATCAGGTGTGACCATGTGACTATGTTCTGACCAATGGGATGTGTGCCCTGAAGAGTCCATCCATCATTTTTTGCCCTGGAGAGGCCTCAGGGCCTCCACCCAGATTCCTCTTCTTCCCAATCTTGCTTTTCCAAATTCCCCTTAAATACAAACTCCCATAAATTCCTCTCCTGCTTAAGAAAGTCATATTTGGTTCCTATTGCTTTAAACCAAGACGCCTCTATAACAGTGTTGCTAAATTGAATTTCCACTCTCCTCTATTTGCTAGCAATTTCCCCAGCTGATGTCTCCTTACCATCCTCTGGTCTCTCGGAGTCCCTTCTTCCTCCCAGAGAGAGAAGTTCAGGGAGACATTGATGGGCGAGATGAGGTCCTGAATGCATACCTGAGGGAGATAAGAATACATCTTATGGCAAGCGTTTAACCTTTGATTCCGCAACCAACTGCATCCCTTGTCCAAGTTTTATAACTGATGGAATGCTGGTAACTAGTTGTCTTCATACGAGTGCCGGGAATACATTTACCCCACATCGGGACTGCTTCTCAGCCCGGTGTCATTCCTCAGCCCCAGTTCCACGCAGACATCGCTAAGCCACCACAGCACTTTTTTCCATGGAGTCCTGACAGAAGCACCGAATCTTTGTCCAACTGCTCTAGGCAACCTTGATCAAAGTTTGCACCAAAAAAAGATATCCTAAAACTAGAGGCCCGGCCCCTCACAGCCAGGGAGTCCTCAGAAGATGTCTGACTGGCATCGGGCCTAAGCCGTCAGTCGGACATCTTAGCACTGCCACAGAGGCGGGCCACTGTACGCGTCAGCCATCAGCCCGGCTTGTGGCTGAGCCACTGACCACCCGGTTGGCCAGCCGGGGAGGAACGTGGGGAGGGCTCCAGGATATGTGTGGCTCATCTTGCTCAGTCCAGATCAGCCAGACCCCAGCAGCCAGCTAACCTACAGATCTGAGTGTCTGCCCCCTGGTGGTCAGTGCACGTCATAGCAAGCAGTTGAGTGGCCTTAGCATATCATTAGCATATTACACTTTGATTGGTTGAATGGCCAACTGGACACTTAGCATGTTAGGCTTTTATTATATAGGATAGCCTAGTTCCTTGAGAACAGGGGTGAGTCTTAGTCTTTTTGTTGTTACCAGTGCCTGACACTGACATTTGAAGTTACTCACATCGTATTCACTTAGTTTCTACCAACCCTCCACATTCAAGAGGAGGAAGACCAGGTCTAAGAAGGTGACACAATTTTTCCAAGGACTAGAACTAGGAAGTGAACCCAAATATTTCCAACTCCCAAGTCTAAACTTTATTTTTTTCTAGCGTATCACAGAGACTCTTCCCTGGCAAATTTACACGTAGAAATTTCCAAGTTTAGTAATCGGGGGGCGGGGGCTGTGAGGAGGCAGAGGGGCACTAGTTGAGCTGTGACTGAAATTAAGTTGAGTTGATAATTGTTGAAACTGGGTGAGAGGTACTTATGGGATCCATTCAACTATTTTTTTTTTTTGTACTTTTGTATGCCTGAACATTCCCATAATAAACAATATAAAGCCAACTGCAAGATTTTATACACCAATCCTATACCAAGTCTCTTATGAAATAGTCAAGAGACCAGAATAATTTAAAGTCAAACCTATTTTACACAGGACCTTGAGGAGCAAATTGATTTGGGGTGTTTTAGCAATTGTTTAAGTCAATATTAAAAGACCTTTTTCTGAGATGGAGATGGATAGTAACTGCCCATGTGTACCAGCAAACAGTGACACTCTCCCCTGGGTATTCTGTGGTCCTGACAAATAATTAAGAAAGCTGGGCAGCAGCAATAGTACATGGCATAGGAAAAGGGTAGGAAAGAATGGAAAGCACTTTATAATCATAGACCTGTGGAAAATGCCCATGTGTCTAGATTAGGGGCTGGAAGGAAACGGGCCACAGGTGTTATTTCTACTGTCGCACAGAAGAGGAAGTGGTGGTACAGAGAGACCAAGTGACTCCTGACTCAGCGGTGGCCCAAAGCTAAGCCTCGCACACAGAGCTGCCTCTCTCGGCTCAGCTCATCCCCCCTTTACTTCCTGGTGCGGCCTCGCCGGCTCCCTTACCGGGAAATGGAACCAGACGGCAATGCAGGACTCGTCGCTGGTCACAGCTATGTTCCCATGGAGCTCACGCCTACCTCCCGGGAACAGGCCCCGGCTCCACAACCGATGGCCGTCCAGCTGCAGAGTGTAGGTGAGGCTGATGACCAGCGGTCCTGGGCGAGGAGAAGGCAGGAGTTGAGTGGCGGTGGGTCCTAGGGCCATAAGCCTGGACTGGGGGTGGGGGAGGGGGGTGCAGAAGGTCTGGGAGCAGGAGGCCAGCACTGACCTTGGAACTGGGGCGTGAGGAGTTTGCCCTGGAAGCAGGCAGAGATGTTAATGCCTTCCTTCCTCTTGCCGCTGCTGGAGTGGGAGCACTCCACTTCATGCACGGGGATCTCGGCGGGGTAGAAGGACATCCGGGTGACCACGTCCACCACGGGCCGGGAGCTGCGGGGCAGAAACAGCCGCTCTCGCCCCTGGCCTCCGCGGTAACCCCGTCAGGCCCCCAGCCCATCTACTGCGCCCGGGGGCCCTCTCGAAGGCAGACCGCCACGCCAGCCTCTCCTTCCAACGGCGATGCTAACTCGTCAGGCGCCTGGCTCAGGCTGCACTCTGCTGGCCCATTTTCCACGCAGAGGAGTGAGTTTTTACTTTTACTTTTTATTTATTTGTTTATTTTAAATATATTTTATTGAATTTTTATAGAGAGGAAGAGAGTGGGATAGAGAGTTAGAAACATCAATGAGAGAGAATCATTGATCAGCTGCCTCTTGCACACCCCCCCACTGGGGATGTGCCCGCAACCAAGGTACGTACATGCCCTTGGCCGGAATCGAACCTGGAACCTTTCAGTCTGCAGGCCGATGCTCTCTATCCACTGAGCCAAACCGGTTTCGGCAATTTTTATTTTTAAAATATATTTTATTGAGTTTTTACAGAGAGGAAGGGAGAGGGATAGTGAGTTAGAAACATCGATGAGAGAGAAACACCGATCAGCTGCCTCCTGCACACCCCCCACTGGGGATCTGGCCAGGTACATGCCCTTGACCAGAATCGAACCTGGGACCCTTCAGTCAGCAGGCTGATGCTCTATCCATTGAGCCAAACCGGCCAGGGCAAGAGTGAGCTTTTAAAGAGAGAAATCAGCCCTGGCTGGTTTATCTCAATAGGTAGAGCATTGGCATGTGGACTGAAGGGTTCTGGGTTCGGTCCCAGTCAAGAGCACATCCCAGGTTGTAGGCTTGATCCCCAGTAGGGGGCATTCAAGAGGCAGCTGATCAATGATTCTCGCACATCTTTAATGTTTCTATTTCTCTCTCTCTCTCTCCCTCTATGGAATCAGTAAAAATATATGTATTTTTAAAATAAAGAGAGAAATCATATTGAGCTACTCCTATGCTTATAACCCTTCACTGATGCTACTTTACTCCCAAAAAATCCAAACGTCTTACTAGCCACGCCACTCTGCCCTCCTCCGTCTCCTCTCCTGCACACGCCCGTTAGCTGAGCATGTTCCAGCCACACCGGACATGTGCCGGCCTCACAGCGTGGGCACAGCCTGGCTTCCCACCCCAGACCGCTGCAGGCCTGGCTCCTCATCCTTCAAGTCCCTGCTCAGACCTCATGTTTGGCCCCTCCGCCTATCACAGGCCTCCCTGCCAGGCTCTCCCTCAGCGCCCGTCCTTTCCCTTGGCACTTCCAATCGCCATCTCACTGCTGTTTAATCTCTACTCTCTGTACCCACGTCAGCATTTAAGACAGAGGAGGCGCTTAGTAAATAGCTATTCGCTATCTGACGTCACACGACATCTCCCATAACTCTGAGAGATGGGCAAGGCGGGGGACTTGGTCATCATTTCACAGATGAGGGAACGGAGTCCCGAGAAGCTGCCTTCTCAGGCTGTGGCTTCTCCAGGCTTTCCTGTCAGACAGGCCTGTTCAAATCCTCGTCTGCTGCTGATCGCAGCTGCTTTCCTGGGGGAGGCATGCCGCCTGCACGGAGACATCCAGCTCCGGGTCGGAGACCACGTGCGCTCGCGCCCGGAAGCAGCTTGCACACGCCCGTCGGAGGGACGAGAGCTCCATGGACAGTAGGTGGCACTGGGATCCTGTCTCACCTCAGCACGATCACCTGCCCCTCGGCGCCCACAGCCACGTCTGCCAGGCCGTCCCCTCCAAGGTCCTTCATCCCGTGGATGGAGCGTCCGAACCATCGAATTCCTGGGAGCACCTGGGCCCCTTCTATCCGCTGAGTCAGAGAGAGACATTCACGCTGAGCCAGGAGGAGGACTGGCCGCAGGGGGGGAGGAAGGGGGCGCGTGGGGTCAGGCGGGGTGGGGTGGGGTCTGGGTTAGAGGCTGCGGGCCGTGGGAACGGGTTCCCTGGCAGGCGGGGCTCCTCACCTGGCTTGGCTGGGGGCTCAGCCCGCCAGGCTGCCCGTTGAAGAGGTACACAGCCCCCCGCTCCTCCAGAGGGGCGCCCACTGCCACGTCCACAAGCCCGTCGCCGTTGATGTCCGCCAGCGCCGCGATGGCTGCTCCGAAGCGCCCCAGGGGGTAGCCAGGGTCCCCCTGCAGCTCTGAGGCCGCTTCGAACCCCCGCTGGGAGGAGAGGGGGACAGGCCCAGCGGTCACTCAGCAAGCCCGGCAGGGAGGCTTCCACTGTGACGGACACTGAGGAGTGCTGGCCCTGGTCCCTGCAGAACGGCAGCGATGCCCGACTAACCGGGTTCGAGTCCCGGCTCCCCCCCTCGCCGACTCTGGAAGGTCTTCGCATTCGGAAGACACAGCTCATGGCACCTTGCGAGGTGACTGTGGGGTCAAAGAAGAGCTGGCAGAGACAGGGGAGGCGCTGGGCCTGCCCCCCAGGCTGCCACCCGTGAGCACCGGCTGCCACCTGCCTGTCTGCTGTCCTGAGGGCTGACTCACACACAATCCCACAGGGAAAGACTCAAAACAACGGGCCCGGGCCGCCTGGAAAACTGCTTATCCCGCCCCTCAGCCCCAGGCCCGGCCCCCACCTGCTTCCTCTCGTAGACGAACACGCGGCCGCCCCTCTGTGCCCCGTAGAACAGGGGCGCTCCGACCAGCAGCAGCTCTGCCTCCCCGTCCCGGTCCGTGTCAACGCCACACAGCTCGCCGCCGAAATAAGAGCCGACCTGCCGGGAGAGCGAGTGTGAGGAGCCCGTGAGCAGGAGACGCCGCCCCGGGACAGTCTCCGATCCGCTCAGGCTGGTGAGCCGGGACAGGTGGGGTTCCTCAGGCCCGAGGAGGTGACTGGCTGGCCTCGGGGGGCTTGCTGGGAGCCGGTGTGACAGCTGGCACAGGCCGGCCACCAGCAGGTGGGCAATGCCCAGAGGCCCAGGGAGTCTGGGCCACAGCAGCCCTGGCCCGGCCCCTGTGCCATGCTCACCTGGACCCCGTCTAGTCTCTGGATCTGGCTCCATTGTCTTTTGTCCCCCGACTGTTGGAAGAGCAGCACCCGCCCCACGTGCTGATATCGGGGGGCCCCAGCGGCCAGCAGGGCGGTGGGCCCTCGGGAGGGCAGCCAGGTCACTGTGTAGCCTAAGGGGGAGAGCGGACGTGGAGTCAGCGGTGCAAGGCCTGCTGGGAGAGGGGAGCACGGGGGGCGGTGGGAGGGGGAGGCCCTGGAGACCGGTCAGTACAGAGATGCGCTGGACCGTCCAGGCGGCCGTGAGGACAGGAGCCGTGCTGGGCACATGCAGCCCCTCCCCCGGCCACGCTGCGGGTCCCGGGCCGGGCGCCGGCCAAGCAGAGCAGCCACAGCGCAGACACGGGCCCTTCCCGCGGCTGTTCCCCTGGGGTGAGGAGGCCACCTTTTAAATACATCAGACATTCAAGAGGGATAGATGGGCAAGAAGGATGCAGAGTTTGCACAAATATTGAGGACGTTTCCTGCTTAAAGACAAGCTTCAGGCTCCCTCTGTGCATCACACCTCGCCGGCCAGGTGCCGGCCTCCGCCAGCTCTGACGAAATGTCCGAGAAGACGTGCAGGAGGCACCGGGAGCAGCAGCGCCAGCGCCGGCCAATGGGAACGCTCCCATTCAGAGCACAGCGCCCTGACCCAGTTTTACCCTCTGCTCAGAGCAGCGGAGAGCGAGCGGAGAGCAGGTGTCTGGGCCCCTGGGGCACACGAGAAGAGGGTGAAGAGGCCCAGCCACTCGTGTCTGCTGCCGAAGCACAAGGTTAAAATCAGAGTGACACAGTTTTAATCCTGGTGTTATTACCTCAAGCCACCGAGCTTCAGTATTCTCATCTTAAAAATAGGGGATTGCCCTCGCTGGGTGGCTCAGTGGTTGGAGCTTCATTCCATGCTTCAACCAAAAAGGATGAAGGGTTCCATCCCCAGTCAGAGGGCACATATGGGAGGCAATAGACAGATGTTTCTCTCTCACATCAATGCTTCTCTCTCTCCCTTCTCTCTCTTTAAAAATCAATATAAACATATCCTCGGGTTAAGATTTTTTTAAAAGTAGGGATAGTATCAACCGTTCAGGGTGGTTTTTGAGAAGTAAATAAGGCCATTGCTATAAAATGCTTAGCACCAGGCAGGTGACATCCGAACTAAGATCTGAAGGATAGTAGCCTAACAGGCACTCAAGATTATATTTATTCATAATGCACTCATACATGTGCACGCGCACACGCAGTGGGGTGGAGATCAATGTTTGGCGTTATTTCTCCCTCCTTTCTGAGCAGCACTGTCGCTGTTTTCCGGATGTTAAAGGACAGAAATCCCCGGGAGGCAGAGGGGTGGTACCGGCCCACCGGGGCCGATGCCCTGGGCCGGCCTCCGGGTGTGTGACCGGGTGAGTACGTGACCTCTCCAGGCTCTTCGGCCATAAACCAGAGGCAATAAGACACCTCCTCACTGGCTGTCGGGAAGGTGAAATGAGACCAAACACGTCCTTACACAGCACACACTCAGAGCAGCGCCTGCTCAGGAGAGAGCGTCAGAAAAAGAAGGGACAAACCACCGAGGGCAGCCTCCCTTGAAGAGTGGGTGCCGGAGGAAGACTTTAATCAGATCTTCCTGTTTGCCCCTGGGGCAGGCTGGCACCGGGAACGTGATGGGCAGAGCTCTAAGGCGAGGCCCGCTGCAGCCGGAGATGCCACCGCCCGGAAGGGGCGGGCGGGCGGCAGGGGCCCCTGGGCATGTGGAGTGACCCCTCGCTGCCTCGTGCCTGACCTCGGAGGAGCACTGGGGACCGCACGGCGGCTCCTGGACACTCGGCGGAGGAAGCCGGGCGGGGCTGGTCCTCCCGTTCCGCGTGGGGTGAGCACCTGTCCCGGGGCTTCGTGTACAGGCAGGACTGTGACCGCAGGGGCCACCGCCGTGGAGAGCTCGGCTCTCCGCTCCCAGCGCAGGAGCGGCCGGCCGTCCTCAGGGAGGAGGCCCCGGGGGGAGGAGCCGGAGGAGGGGGAGTGACAGGCGAGGCGCTGGGGCCGGTGTGGGAAGGGCTCTCTCTGGGCCGGCCGGCCCCGGCGTGCGTGGGTCCGGGGGAGACCGGCGGTGGAGGAAGTTAGGGGCAGAAGCAGCTGCCGCCCTGGGCCCTGGCTGGCATAGAAGGGTGCTGTCTACCCTGAGGGGTGAGCCGGCCAGGAGGGGCAGGCTCTCTGGGGTGAGAAAGCTTCAGGATCTAAGGCCTCACAGACACGGGAAATAGAAGCATGACTAACACCCACGGGGGCTCCCAGGGGGAAGCTAAGAAGGCGGTCACCACCTTGAACTCAGCGTGTTCACGCCGCTGGCTTCACCGCTTCCCTCACTTTCCTGAGGGTCAGTCCGAGCGGCGCTCTGGCCCCTGAACCAAAGGCCCGGCACTCACCCAGGTACCCCGCTCTCGCCTCCAGGATGGGGGGGTCGTTCCCAACAAAAGTGTCGCCCTGCAGGTCTGCCTCCAGGTCCAGGAAGCCCCCAGCCCAGTCATTGGCGCCGACTGCCCCCACCACACCGTGGTCCTGGCCGGGGAGGAGCGGAGCAGGGTCAGAACAGGGCAGCTGCTCCCACGACCTCCCTCCCGTGGCCCGAGGCTCCGGCCTCCACTCACCCCGAGGAGGGCAGCGCTGACCCCGCTGGAGGACAGCTCCAGGTTGAAGGACGTCAGGTCCAGTTTGTTGGTGCCTGAGGGGCGGTGACCAGGAGCAGTGAGCGCGGTGAGACTCAGGGTGGGACGGAGAGAGAAGGCAGCATCGCCAGGTGGAGGGAGCACAGACTTGGCAATGAGACACACTGGGAAGGGGCTTCCAGCCGTGAGCCCAGATGGGTGTCCAGCTACTGCCCTCAGCCTGTCTAAGACTCAGCATTCGGCTTCTGTGCTTACCGGGACTTCCCCACCTCAACGGATGACACCCACCTCCTCGGGAATCATGCCAAAAACACAGGAGTCAACCTTGACTCTGCCCTGTCCCGCTGTTCCATCTCCAATATGTCACTAACTCACATTGGATCGCCTGCAAAGTACACCTGACCACTTGGCAGAGGAAGTGACATCTAAACTGAGACCTGCCCAGCCAGTGCGGCTCGGTGGTTGAGCGTTGACCTATGAACCAGGTCATGGTTCAATTGGTGGTCAGGGCACATGTTGGGTTGCGGGCTTGATCCCCAGTGTGGGGTGTGCAGGAGGCAGCCGATCAAACACTCATCATTGGTGTTTCTATCTCTCTCTCTCTTCCTTTCTCTCTGAAATAAATTTTAAAAATATTTTTAAAAATAAGTAAACTAAGACCTGAAGGATGAGTAAGTGCAGGTCAGAAGAGAGGATAAGGGTTACAGATAATAAGAGCTACAATTGAATGCTGAGCAATCTGCTAAGCAGTTGTTAGGGGTTGAGTTATGGACCCTAAAAAAGGTATGTTGAGCCCTAGCTGGTTTGGCTCAGTGGATAGAGCATCAGCCTGTGGGCTAAAGGGTCCCGGGTTTGATTCCAGTCAAGGGCACATGCCTGGGTTATGGGCTTAATCCCCAGTTGGGGGTGTGCAGGAGGCAGCCGATCAATGATTCTCTCTCATCATTGATGTTTCTCTCTCTCTCTCTCTCTCTCTCTCTCTCTCTTTCCCTTCCTCTCTGAAATCAATATAATATATATATATATATATTTTTTTAATATATTTTATTGATTTTTCACAGAGAGGAAGAGAGAGGGATAGAGAGTTAGAAACATCAATAAGAGAGAATCATCGATCAGCAGCCTCTTGCACACCCCCCATTGGGGATGTGCCCGCAACCAAGGTACATGCCCTTGACCGGAATCGAACCCGGGACCTTCCAGTCCGCAGGCCGATGCTCTATTGACTGAGTCAAACCGGTCCCAGCTAAAAATATATATTTTTAAAAATGAATGTTGAAGTCCTAATCTTAGTCCTTCAGAATGTGACCTTACTTAGAAATATGGTCTTTAAGAGGCAATCAAGCCGAAACCAGTTTGGCTCAGTGGATAGAGCGTCGGCTTGGGGACTGAAGGGTCCCCGGTTCAATTCCGGTCAAGGGCATGTACCTTGGTTTCGGGCATATCCCCAGTAGGAGGTGTGCAGGAGGCAGCTGATCGATGACTCTCTCTCATCTCTCATCAATGTTTCTAACTCTCTATCCCTCTCTCTTCCTCTCTGTACAAAATCAATAAAAAATATATTAAAAAAAAAAAAAAAAAAGAGGTAATCAAGTTAGGATGAGGTCATGAGGGTGGGCCCCAATCCAATATGGCTGACATCCCTGTAGAATGGGAAAGTCAGACACAGAGACAGACATGCCCAGAGGGAAGGTAACGTGGAGACACAGGGGAGAAGACAGCCGTGTCAGAAAGAGCCTGGCCCTGCTGACCCCGTGGGCTCTCTCTCCTGGCCTCTGGCCCTGTGAGACAGCACATGTCTGCCGCTGCACCCCCGGCTGCGTGGCACTTGGTCAGAGCAGACTCAGGCAACTAGCACAGCAGTCAAGCCTGTGAGACCGTGTCATCATCCCCACTTAGCAGAGAACAAGGAGCCTCAGAGAGGGAGAGTGACCTGGCTGAGGTCACACAGCACAGGCAGAGCGGATTCCCTGGTTCTACTAGAAACACCACATTGCTGCTCAAACTCTCACATTCCCCCTTCCTGGACACTGAACCGAGGTCTTCCAGCAAGACTGTGGGGCTGGGCCAGATGTCACCAAAGTGCTGAACTGAACACCAGAGCTCTGTCCCCCCAAAGGGCCCTTCCCTGTGGGAACCAGCAGACTAGGCCTCCCAGGGGAACCCTCCCATGGCCAGGCCTCCACCTGGTGATGCCAATCAGTCTTCTCTTTTCTGGACGGAGGAAGCGGGTCTATGGGCTACTTTCAATTGGCCACAGCCCGCGTACCCATCTTAAGCCATCTGAGGCCTAGAATAACGGAAATGAAGAAGCTGAGGGCAGGGGAAGGCGTTATGGTCGTCCCACAGGGCTCAGCTGACTCCTGCAAGACAGAGTTCAGCCCTGGGCCTCAGCCTGGGCCAAGCTAAGCTCGAAGAGGAAGAGGGAGTTTCAGAGGGAATAGAAGCCGCTCCTCAGCCACTCTCTGCTAAATTCCCGCCCGAGGCCTTTCTTCAGGAAGCTCCTGGCACTGCGTCCGCCACTGAGGAAGTGCTCCTCACTGCTATCCAGCGTGCCTCTCCCCTCACGTCCCAGGTGAGCTTCTGTACAGAATTTCCTGAACCATCTGTCCAGGGTCTGCCACTCACCCTCAATGTCATAGATCTTCTTCTGCAGATCAGTGAACAGATCTTGAAGCTTCTCAAATGTGTCCAGAATCTTTACAAACTCTTTCACGGGTTTTGAAGCAAATTTGTTTAGTGTCTCCTGACTTTTCTTGTTCTGAAATTGCTTTCCGATCTGTGAGGGAGAGAAGTACTGACATCCCCAGAATCGCAAGCCGATTTTCTACTATTTTCACAAGACCACGGCTCCAAGGAGAAGGGAAGTGGGGATCAGAAATAGGAGAGGGAAGATGAGATGGAGGAAGAAGGCAGAGGCTTGGCACCTGGGGCCCATACCCCGATGATGTAGCGGGTGATGTCATCGGCCACGCTGATGTCGCCGATGTCAGAGGCTTCCCCGTCAGTGATAATGATGAGCACTTTGCTGGCATCTGGCCGCGCCCCAAGTTCCGTCCGGAAGACCTTGGTCCTGTGTTCAAGAAGGGGGGATGTGAGAGACTCCCCCAAATCATATGAATCTCATTAACTCACTGCCCCGCTAATTATACAAAAGCTCTTCTCAGATATCTCCTCCTACCCCCCCCCCCCCCCCGCAGTGATTCCCAGCCTGCCAAGCTCTCTCCCGAGCCTCCTGCCCGGACCTGGCTGCCACCCCTCTCCTCAGCCAGCATCTTCAGCTGGACCCGGGCATCAGTGGGAAGGGGGAGGCTTGGTGAGGGGAGACTCTGGGCATCCAACCCTCCATTTCAACCCCATGGCAACTATCTTCCAATCAGATATGTTGGTGATTTAGGTGAGATTTCAGTGGGGTCGGGGATTCCATGGCGGAAGAAAACGGGAAAGTCATGAGTCCGGAACAAGCTCGTACAGCACCGTCTCCCCGCCCGGCGCTCGGCGGCCTGTACATCTGGCCGCAGCCAGTCTCCGGGGAAGTGAAGTAACTGATTTCTGTGTCATTTCCCCCCAAATGGTCAGGAGCTCCTCAAGGAAAGGACCGTGTCAATGTGCTGCTGACCTGCGGCTGCTGACGGAGCAGCTGCTCAGTGCGTGTGGGGTACCGGGACGGGAGGCCTGCATCTGGCCAGGCCGGCTCCAGGCCCGCCTTCTGCAGCCGCCTCGTGAGGCAAGACGGGCTGCCCACAGACTCTGCTGGGACAACAGCTACATCTGAACCATCTGACCCTTCTCCCCCCGCCCCTCAGCCAACCGGCGACGGACAATTAGTCCAAGAGCAGCCCACAGGCCCTGACGATGACATGACCTGCTTTAGGGGCAGAGCTGGCGAGGCCGCAGTGAAGGACAGACCGGGGAGGAGGCTGACAGTTACTTGGAAGCTGCCGAAGACGGAGGAGCGCTGGCGGGCAGGCCCCAAACACCGCTGTCAGGACCTCTACTCTACGTTGGATGTAACCTCCGTCCACACAGACATGGCCCAGCACAGGTCCTGCTCAGGCATCTGTGTCCCATCTAGATTTTCCAACGGCCTCCTGCACTGGCTTCCCTGCTTCCATCTCTGCCCCCTGCACAGTCTGATATCAACCCTGCAGCCAGAGGGAGCCTTTTCCAAACGATCACTCCCTTACTCCAAACCTCCTGGGACACCTGTTACTCAGAAGAAAAGCCAAAGTCCCCACGAGGCCTCCGGCTTCTCCAGACACTGTCCTCCCCGTCCCCTCCGCCCGGGGTCCCCAGGTCCCCACAGGGCTCATTTCCTCAACTCCAACAAGTCTTGGCTCCAATGTAACCTCCCCTGATCTTCCTATTGAGTATTTGTGTGTGTGTGTGTTTTTACTATTTTTTATTGATTTTTTGCAGAGAGGAAGGGAGAGGGATAGAGAGCTAAAAATATCGATGAGAGAGAAACATTGACCAGCTGCCTCCTGCACACCTCCTACTGGGGATGTGCCCACAATCAAGGTACATGCCCTTGACCGGAATCGAACCTGGGACCCTTCAGGCCGCAGACCAACGCTCTATCCACTGAACCAAACCGGTTTTGTTGAGTATTGCTTTGTTTTTAACCAAACATGTCTTCCATTGTATGAACTCATTTATGTCGTCATCCTGCTTCTCACATTTCTCTCCTCTGCTCGGAAGTTAAGGTCCAAGAGGTCAGAGGTTTTTCTTCGTTCCATTCCCTGTAGGAGTCCCAGCCCCTAGAATATGGCAAATCACCACCTGCGGCCAAAAGCCAGCCCTCAGCTCATTTCCATACGGTCCAGGAGGCAAAAATGGGTTCGCATATCTTTGTTTTCATAGGATTACAAAACAAACAAAGAACAATATGTAACAGATGCTGTATGTGGCCAGAAAAACCTAAAATATTTACTATTTGGTCCTTTACAGAAAACAAAACACACACTCACACACACACACAGAAAACTTGCCAACTCTTAATCGGGAACACTGCCTGGCACACAGCCAGAATGCCAAGAAGTGTTTATGAAATCCACTCCCATGACTGCTCCTTTTTGCTCCCACAGTCGACACCTGTTAGGGTATCTTCCCATCCTGTGGTGACCCCTTTCTCTAAGAATTACCCCCAGAATCTGAGTCTGTGTCATATGACTCTGCACCATAAAGTAGACCAAGGCCATGGCTGGCCCTCACGCAGACTCAGCCAGTCCCGGGCTAACTGGAGGCTGGCGTTCAGGCTGCGGGACGGAAGCTGCCATGCCTTCAGGGGCCGTCGCCTGACTGTGCGCCCACAAAGCTGCCTCCGAGAGAAAAGAACGGAGTGGATAATGGCAGGTCCAGCACGCCCCAGGAGAAAGGAGCCAAAAACACGTATGCAGATCCCTGGGAGGTATCACACGCATGTTCAACGTGTGCAAATTCAACTCTACGTCCCTGGCAACAAAGAAATGCAGAGGCGTGAAGTGTACTAGCATAGGAGGCCCCTCTAGCGACTTCACGCAGCTTGAGTGCGTACCCAGGGGAACACGGGGGAGGAGACACAGTTCTCGCATTCCTCAAATTGCTGTTCCATGGCCAGTCTACCGCACGTTTAAAACGTACAGTGTGGCCCTTCGCACGATCCAGCTACTTCATTTAGGTCTCAGTTTACACACAGCAATCTGATCCAACTGGGGGGGGGGAATTTTTTCTGTAGTGAATTTAGGAAATCGAGATATACTCGTTTCCAGTATGGGACTTGAACATATTGAATTTTATGAACAGTTCGAGGATGATGGTGAGTATTTGAGATTTTTGTTCATGGCTGACTTCAAAGCTGATTCCCATCCGAGAGGGGACTCTGCTGTGGCTGTCGGGCTTCACAATCGCTTCCTGAGGCCTGGCTCCAGTCCCTCGGGAGGCCTGGCCATCCCCCTGTCTCCGAGGCTCATGAGTATCCCTGCAGCCTCCCTTGGGATTTAGTCAGTATAAATCAGTTTCTGGCCAAAACCGGTTTGGCTCAGTGGATAGAGCGTCGGCTTGGGGACTGAAAGGTCCCGAGTTTGATTCCAGTCAAGGGCATGTAGCTTGGTTGCGGGCACCTCCCCAGTAGGGGGTGTGCAAGAGGCAGCTGATCGATGACTCTCTCTCATCGATGTTTCTAACTCTCTATCCCTCTCTCTTCCTCTCTGTACAAAATCAATAAAATATATATTTTTTAAAAATAAATCAATCAATTTCTGCTACTTACAACCCAGAGCCGCAACTAAAACTGCTCCACTTGATTCTTACAATAACCTGCCCTTGCTGAACCCATTTGTTGAGTTCTACACCCCAACTTAAAGAAGCTAGTGTGCACAGAGTGACTGATAGGGGGCTCTCTCCTGCAAAAGGGAACTCACGCGACATAGTTGATGGCGCCAAAGGTGTTGGTCAGCTGTTTCATATGAGCTACTTTGCTCAGGAGGACGTCAGGGTTCTTCAGATTCACATAATCCGAGAAATTGAATTCTGTTTTGAAGTTTGTGGAAAACTGAACAGCAGCAAACTGTAGAAGAAGAAAGAAATGAAATGTTATATAAGCCTTCTCACTTGTCTGCTCTAATCTTCTTTTTCTTTTATGCTTTCATTGATCTCAGAGAGAGGAAGGGACAGGAAAAGAGAAATAGAAACATCAATGATGAGAGGGAATCAATTGGCCACCTCCTGCACATCCCCTACTGGGAATGGAGCCTGCAAGCCAGGCATGTGCCCTGACCGGGAATCGAACCGTGACCTCCTTAACATTCAAAGACAGCCACACCGGCTGGGCAGGCTCCAATCTCTACTTCTTATCCAGGACTTGGACCACCCAACTCCACTGCCCTGACTCAACTCATTCTTTTGCAAATAAACAAACACAAAATAAAATAAAATCAATCTCGGACTCTTTATGTAGTGCTGTCTGTGGCGCTCCTGTTCTCTGGGCCTGCCTACCTCACCAACAGAACTGGTTCCCGCTAGCTCTGCTTCTGAGTGGCTCTGCTGAACAGGGTACAGTTGGCTGAGCCAAAGACAGCCACTTGGCTGAGGCGAGGCCAATGTGTTCTCTGAGCATTTGGAATTTGCAGTGGGAGGAGCTGGTTGAGAGAAAGAACCAACCTCCTGAGACTTTAACTTGTGAACTTAAGAACTTTGCACGGGCCCATGTGATCCAAAGAAGCTGAGGGAGCCATTCCACACACACACACACACACACACACACACGCACAGAAAGCGAAAAGGGAGGCAAAAAGTAAAAAAGAAACAGAAATGAGAACTAGGGGAAATTCTAGAAGCTTTCTATTCCTTGTTCTTATCCCTTCCAGAGGTCCCATTATTCCTGGCCATGCCTTTAGGATCTGGAAACTCCTAACATTCCCTGGACATGCTAAGATTTCCTTGTATGCCTTACGCTGGCGTGGGGAGGCCCCTCTAAGCAGGAACCCTCACTCACACACTTACCTGGTAGGACGAGTTGCTGAGTTTCTTCATCACATCCTTCATGAAGGACAGGATCTTCTGAAATTCGTCTTCTCCCAGGCTCGCCGAGCCGTCAAACAGGAACACCAGGTCCACGTTGCCCTTGAGACATTCTGCAGAAGCCAGAAACGAAGAGGCTCAGTCACATGTCTCTGACGTGGCCGGCCCAGGCCGTTCCCGTGTACGGCCATCCCCTCGCAGGCTGTCTGCCCGCGGCCCCCGTTCCTCACCCTGGTAGCCTGGGCGCCCTCGCAGCACCGGGCCCTGCAGGTCCTGGTGGAAGAGGTAACACTGGCCGCTTAGATAGATGTTCTGGTCACAGGTCCGAGACAGCCCGGGGTCACAGGCCTGAAGGAGGCACAGGCGAGAGGGTTCAGCCTTCTCTTGCGGTGTCTTTTGATATCACCAGCCAAAACTAAGGTGACCAGACGTCCTGATTTTTAACAATTTGTCCCACGTCCCGTGGTATTTTAAAGAAGTCCTGATTTTTTCCAAAAAATTTTCCAAAAATTGGGACTTCTTTAAAACGCCGCAGGACAAATTGTTAAAAATTGGGACTGTCCCGAAACCGGTTTGGCTCAGTGGATAGAGCGTCGGCCTGCAGACTGAAAGGTCTCGGGTTTGATTCCAGTCAGGGGCATGTGCATTGGTTGCGGGTACATCCCTCAAGGGGTGTGCAAGAGGCAGCTGATCGATGATTCTCTCTCATTGATGTTTCTAACTCTCTATCCCTCTCTCTTCCTCTCTGTAAAAAATCAATAAAATATATATTTTTTAAAAGTCCCGAATTTAAACAATTTATCCCATGTCCCGTGGCATTTTAAAGAAGTCCCAATTTTCTTTTCGGGACTTCTTTAAAACGCCACGGGACAAATTGTTAAAAATCAGACTGTCCCGCCAAAAGCAGGACGTCTGGTCACCTTACAAAACCCTTCAGAGTCATCATCCCCTGACCTCACTCCCTGCTCCCAACTGGTGACCGGCCAAGGTAATTCACCTCCAGTTTCTTACTCCAGTATCCATCCCCACTGCCACCGCCCTGTGCCAGCCAACGCTCACTGCCCACTCCAGGTCCCGGAAGACAGGACCTGAAGCTGTGGTTTGGCATTCTCATCGTTGACAGGTGGGCACTAGCCTACCTGTCCAGTCCCATCGCCTCCACTCCATCACACATTCTGTGTTCAAGCCAACATGACTCACTGTCCCCAGAATACACACAGCGTTCCTTTCATTTATGGCTGCCGCTAGAGGCCCGACGCACAAAATTCATGCGAGGGGCTCAGCCCTCGCAGCCGCAGCCCCCGGCTTCGTCCTGAAGGTCGTCCAGAAGAACATCCAGAATGTTATTGGGATGTCCGGTCTAGTTAGCACGTTACGCTTTTATTATTATGGATTCCTGCCAGACCGCAATTTTTTGAAAGTCTGGGCTCATGTCATGGTCATCTTTAGATCAGACTCCGCTTCCCCCATCATCACCTTGGCATGTAACAGTAGCTAAGTAAACAAGTTCCGATTAAATACAGGATCAATATTTCAGTCCGTCTGCTATTTCTCTCGTAGCTGTTGGATGCTGCTGAAATGAATTGTAGAGAGCAATGGACTTGGAATCAAGTGGGTATCTGATTCAAATCCCAGCTCTATCTCTTTAAAACCATGTGGCCCTGGCCAAGCCTCTCCCTTCCTTCCTGTTTCCTCAGGTGTAAAAAGGTGAGGAGGGTTAAAAGAGAGAAAGAAGTGTTTTTCAAACTTCAGGCGTTCGTGTAACACTTTGCAATTTCTGCCATATGGTATGTCATTCATACCATCATTTCCTTAATATTTAAAGTAAATTTACTTTAAAAAAAAATACTTTAGCCGATACCAGTTTGGCTCAGTGGATAGAGCCTCGGCCTGCGGACTGTAAAGTCCTGGGTTCAATTCCAGTCAAGGGCATGTACCTTGGTTGCAGGCACATTCCCAATAGGCATCTGATCAATGTTTCTCTCTCATCAATGTTTCTAACTTTCTACCCCTCTCTCTTCCTCTCTGTAAAAAATCAATAAAATATATTTTTAAAAAATACTTTAGCCTCATCCTAACCAATGCAATCTAAGAAATCATGAATTTGAAATGCTTGTTGTAAATGTTTCTACTAGTCCGTTAAATAAATAAATATGTAACTATTCAAATATTAAGTTGTGTACCACCAAAAATCATCTTGTATATCAATTCTTATAAATACTTAATATTTGGGAAAACTTAGGTTAAGTAAGATCTTGAAAATAGCTGGCTCATAGTTTATTCTCAATAAACACTGACTCCAAATCACTCTGATGCCTTTGATCTTCTATAGGATCATTTTTTTTTTTAAATCCTCACCCTAAAGGATAGAGTGACTTTATTGATTTCTGAGAGAGAGAGAAAAAAAAGAGAGAGAGAGAGAGAGAGAGAGAGAAATGTTGGTGTGAGAAACATTGACTGCCCCTCATACATGCTCTGAGTGGGGATTAAAACTACAATGTGGAAATGCGTGCTGACCGTAAATCGAACCGAAGACTCTTTGGTGAACAGGACGACACTCAAACCAACTGAGCCACACCAGCCAGGGCCTCCTATATGACCTTTAATCCGTTTTATTTTCTTTCTTTTTTTCAGTCAGTTTCCTAGCATTGAGCTTCACAGGCTCTGATATCACACGACACAAAACTCTTACCAAAAGGTTTCCATTCGTGGGGTCTGTCGCCAGGGTCATCCCCAAGTACTGAGAGGTGTCGTTGGAACCTGTAGGCATCATAAGATTGGTCTGGAGGGATTTAGGCAATCCAGGAGTGGAGGGGGCCAGCCTCCACTTCCCTGAGGCACCTCCTCCCCGCTCCTTGCCCGTCACTCACCGCTCACGCCCAGCGGCAGGCAGTGCCCGGTGTCCGGCTGGCACTGGTAGAGGCCTCCCGGGCTGCTCCCCTCGCCCGGAGCGCCCACGACCACCCTGACGAGAAAGCTCGCTGTGAGATAGGGTTCCCCAGGCCTTACCTCCCGCTCCTACCTGATAAGGAGTACCCTGTCCCCCGCCAGGTACCCCAAAGCAATGCAGCCTTCTCCTCAGGGCCCACCTAAATGGTCCGTTAAATAAATAAATAAATAAATAAATAAATAAATAAATAAATATGTAACTATTCAAATGTTAAGTTTGTGTACCACCAAAAATCATCTTGTATATCAATTGTTATAAATACTTAATATTTGGGGAAAACTTAGGTTAAGTAAGTTTTTGTACTTACGGAATCCCAGAGAAGCCACCCACCATACCAGAGTTCTAGAAAGTTAAGAGCTGTTTCCATCTACAGTCTAGAAAGACTGAGGACCGGAGAGTGGGCCAGCACGTCATTCAACCGTCACCCACCCAGAGACCTGCGGCCTGGCGCCCCGTGCTGGGCTGGGCGGGGGCGTGTGTCCGGGGAGACCCGGGACTGGCCGCGCTGCCCGGGGGGACTGGGACGGCGCCCTCCCCGTGTCCCTGCCGTGGCCCTTTAGCCGTGCGGGGCCCGCCCTACACCCCGGGCCCTGCTCCTGCTCCCGAGAAACCCCACACGGGCTCCTGGGCCCCGGCTGACAGGGTGCCTGGTCCCGGCTCCGCGGGCAGGGCCGGGCATCTGCTCACCCGTTTCCGACCTGCAGGACGCGGTACCCAAAGTGCCGGCCGGCGTCAGGGAAGGACAAGTTCTGCACCTGCCGCACGTCCAGGTTGTAGCCGGAGGCCAGGGCTGAGGGGACAAAGGGGGCCGTCAGCCACTTCCGGCCGGGGACCCCTACTCACCCCCACCCGCGCCCACGTGCCCTGGGGATGGGCAGACCTCCAAGGGCCGGCTGCCTCGGACCAGGCAGAGCGGGGGCTGGAGGCCTCGGCAGGGAGACAGGGGCGGCTCCCTGCTGCCCGGAGTGCGGGCAGCCCCAGGCCTGGGAAGCGTACAACTTCCCGTTGGCCTCTCAGCAAAGAAGGAAGGATGAGAAGGCAGAGGCCGTGGGAGAGGAGCCGCCGGAAGGGGCCCCTGAGGCGCTGGGGATGCCCCACGTAGGGTGCAGCTCGGCGCCAGAGAGCTCAGTGGTTTTCCTCAGGCTTCCTCCCACACTCCACTCAGGGTTTCAAGATCCCCACGAAGCTGCTTCATCCCTGCTCCCTCCTCCTCCTCTTCCCTCCCTCCCTCCCTCCTTCCCTCCTTCCTCCTTCTTCTCTCTTCCCTCCTTCCCTCTCCTCTTCCCTCCTCGTTTGCTCCCACACTCCCCATGGCCAGGGACCAGCCTCCTCCTCAGCCTCAGATCTCAGAGTCCCAGCCTCAGAACCCGGGCTACCAGTCCCAGGCTCACCTTCCAGGCCCAGGCTGACCTCACAGCATCCCAGGTGCCAGAGCCAGGCCCCAGGCCCCAGGCCCCGCATTGTTCAGAGGAAGAGCCTGAGGCCCAGGAAGGGGCAGGACCTCTGAGAGGGCGCAGAAAGGAGTGCCCGGTGGACCAGACCCAGCACAGCTCTGTGCACATTACCACCTGCCGGAGAGGGCCCACGCCTCATCTCTCACTGTGGCCGTCCTTGTCCGCCTTCCCGTCTCGTCTCCACACCTGGCCTGTGCTTTGGACTCTTTCTTCAGCCCCCCCTCTCCTCTCCATTCCTGCCCCACATCACCTGCTCCCGAGCTCTGGTTCTGTAAAGCCCTGCGGTTCCCTGGCCGCAGCCACATGTCCCTCCCGCCCCTCCTCCCCGCCCGCTCGCTTACCCAGGAGAAAGGGCCCCGACAGCAGCAGCCTCGCCGCCGCCGCGCTGCAGGCGTTCATGTTTGAAGCCGGCGGGTCTCGGAGGACCCTGGGGACAGCTGGCGGCCTGGACGGGCGAGAGAAGGAAATGATAAAGCCCTGGTGTCTCTTAAGTGGAACTTTCTCACAGAGGCACCAGCTGATACCACTGGGTGGTGGTGAAGGAGGGGGTGAAGGGTTGTGAAACCGCCAAGTGTCAGAGAGGAAGTGTAAGCAGGTTAGAGATTTCCTGTGCTGCTTGTGCTTTCACATCATCCAGGCGCAGACAGCACCAAGGGCGACGCATCTTCATGGTCCACTGCACAGGCACCAGAGACGCTGCAAAGCTCAGCAGAGGGCGGGCCAACAAGGTCCATAAACTGGTGCAGCCGCACCAGGGACCTGCTCTCCCCATGGAAAGATGCCCATCAAACCCTGTGAAGTATTATAAAAAGAGCAAGTTACAGAGCAGTATATGTAGAAACTCATTTTTATTCTAAAATAAAAAATAAAAAAAACAATGCCCACAGAATGAGAGAAAATATCTGCACGTTATATATCTGATATGGGGCTTCAATCAAGAATATACAAAGAACTTTTGTAAGTCAACAATGAAAAGACAAGGCATTATTTTAAGTGGGCAAAGGGTTGGAACACACATTTGTCCAAAGATGATATACGCATAGCCACCAAGCACGTGGAAAGATGCTCAACATCGTTAGTCACTAGAAAAATTGAAATCAAAACCAAAGGAAGATGCCGCTTCACACTCGTTAGGATGGCTAGAATAAGAAAGAAAGTAAGTGCTGGTGGGAAGGTGGAGAAATGGGGACTCTGTACTTCGCCAGTGGGGATGTAAAATGGTGGAAAACAGCTTGGCAGTTTCTCAAAAGAGGGAAATGGCAAACAGAGAGTTGCCATATGACCTAGTGATTCCCAAAAGAATTGAAAACATACATGAATTTTCACAGCAGCATTTTTCATTTTAGGTCCATCAGATGATGAGTGGATAAACAGAATGTGGTTTGTAGCCTTAGAATGGAATATTATTTGGCCATAAAAAGGGATGAAGTGCTGGTGGACTTTGTAAACATTATAATAAGTTAAAGAACTCAGGCACTAAAGGTCACTTGCCGCCTGCTTCTATTTAAGTGAAATGCCCAGCATTGGCAAATCTAGAGAGACAGGAAGTAGATTAGTGGCTGAGAGGATTCGGGGAGTAGGGAATGAGAAGTGGCTGTGGTGGATAGAGGGTTTTTTTGGGGGGTGTTGAAATGTTCTGGAATTAGATGGTGGTGACTGTTGCACAACTTTATGAATGTATTAAAAACCACTGGATTATACATTTTAAAATGGCAATTTTATGATTCGTAAATTATACCTCAAAAAATGAAGAATAGAAGTTGAAATTATGTGTGTAAGTGTGTGAGCGTAAAGCAAATCCAAAAGGACACACAACTAAACTGTGCCATGCTGTGCCAGCAGAGCCAAGGGTTCGGTGAGCCTGAGGGGTGGGGGGGAGGCAAAGGATGAAGAAAAGACAGACAAAGAGAATAAGCTGAGCCTCGGTGGATCTCCTGTGCCTGGAGAAAGAGCCAGACGGCAAGCTGAGCCTTTATTTTATAGCCAGAGGTAAACAAGGTAGTGGTCACCATAGTTACCATGTTCTTGTGAGTTTCACTTGTTTTGGCAGCACTTGCAGCACCTCCCTAGCCCATTAGCGACCCAGGAAGGATCTAGGGTGCGGCCATAAGGTCAAGATTAATTCTGCGAAGAGGGCTATGCCCTCTAAGCTGGGACTTGCCTGTGGCTCTGCCACAGGTCAATCCGAGGCTCAACTTTAGAGCCGCTCCCTACACAAACCCAAAACAAAATAAGGTTTTTACTTTCTGTATTGCCTGAAAAAACATCTTTTACAACGAGGATGTATAATGGGAAGTTCTGAAAGAATGAAGATATTAAAAACATAACGGAGTATGTTCGAACTTGGTTCGTGTTTGTTTATGGGAAAGTGGGAAGGACACCGAGACTTCCCCGTGTGGGAGGAGGGCCCCTGCCCGTGCCCCGCGCTGGGGCAGGCGTGTGCACCCAGCTTATTCACCAGCTCCTGCCCGGCAGCCACCAGGTGGCAAGCTGGCTCCTGGGAATTAGGTGATGTCAGATGGTCTTTTTCAAATGCAGTTAAAATCAGATAATTCAGACTGGCTTCTTTGATGTTCCGTATGGCAGTTCCAATTTACATCGAACCAAATTCTTTTGTTTTGTTCTGAAGTTACAAAACTATGCATTTTAAAACTCAAAAGGGTAAAGACTCTTTTAACATCCACCTCCTGCTTCTAAATCTCAAAAGTAACCATAGTTAACAGTTTGGAGCCCTACAATCTTCATGACAAGATATTGTTAGTTCTAGTTAAACAAACAGGTCTCACCTGTTTAGAAAAACTGTCATTATCTCAGCAGAGAACATCGACCGAGAATTAACCATCCAATCAGCCGGCTTCAACATTTGGATGCACCCTGGCCCCTGTGGCTTCTCAGTCAGGGCACGTGTCTGGACTGTGGGCTCGGTTCCCCAGTAGGGGGCGTGCAGGAGGCAGCCAGTGGATGTTTCTCCTCCCTCTCCCTTCTTCTCTCAAAATCAATAAAAATACTTATTTAAAAAAAAATTTTGGGTGTTTGAATCAGGGTTTAAGTTTATAGAAACTTTAAGCGTGTCAGTAGCAACCCCTGGGATAAAAGGCAATCAGGAAATAATCTCAGTCTCCACTGCTTGGATTACAAATCCCTGTGTGTGTTTCAGCAGGCAAGTGTACTCGTTTACATATTTATCATGTTATGTTTAAGAAAAAAAAATTATTTCCCCCCCTTCTGGTTGAGTACGACGAAGTTGAGATAGCTTCAAAGTACAAGCAAGCCCCAAGGATTCTGGGAAGTAGCCAGAGGCTCAATGCCCAGAGAGCAGGTAATTTCCCTGAAGAGGTGGACCTCAGAGGTCTCAGGCTGGGGCCACGTGGGGATGTTCTGAGGCAGGATGTGCCCCCCACCACACACACACACACACACACAACACACACACACACACACACACACACACACACACACACACGGGACTGGCTGACTCATATCTCGACTGTCAGTTCTCTGAGAGTCCAAGTGCCCTGAACTGCCTCTCGGTTCTATTCTTTTTGTTTGAATCTCCACGAGTTCTCAGCAGAACCTTTACTGCGACTCCAGTTCTTCCTTTCCTCAATTGGCTCCCCTAAAGGTTCCATCCCCCACGAACCACCAAGTTAACTTTGAGAAGGTTGAGCACATCTCTCTTAGGCTTTAAAACCTCTCACGATGCCCCTTCACACACACAAAAGCCAGTCCATGCTGGCATGGCTTTCATGATCTCTCCTGCCCCGGGCTCTAACTTAGCAAATCTCTCTCCAGGTTCAGATAGACCAAGTCCTGGGGAGGAGGGCATGATGCTCCCAGTGTCGGCAGCCCCTTCGAGGAAAGCAGTTTCAGCAGCATGATGTCATCTTGGCTACATCAGATGAACAGTTGGAATTGACCCTGCTGGTGAGGTGATGGCAGATGGGACCCAAAATCAATGCCCAGGGCAAAGGCAGCCATGGATAGATGGAACCCAACAGATACCAGCTCTCTTCAGATGGCTTGGTTACTTATGAACTAGAGGCCCAGTGCATGAAATTTGTGCACTGGTAGGGTCCCTAGTGACCGCTGGGGGGGGACCTCTCTCTCTTCCCCCTCCCCCCCACCCCAGCTAACCCCATCCCCTGATCGAACTCCCGGAGGAACGCCTGGTGGAGGGGACAATTTGCATACTGCACTTCTATTATATAGGATTGTTTTATACAGGATCATGAAAATGACTCAAACATATAATTTCACAGGCGAATCACAAATGAGATCCCAGACTGGGAAGTCCTGGGGTACACAGAATCTGTGCCTCTAAGACAGAGCCAGTGGTCTGGATGCCTCAAGTCCTCTGTGTCCTTTGTCAAGTAAAATTATTTTAATAATGTCTTCTTTCTCTATATATGGACGAGGAAACAATGAGAGAGCATTTTCTCTTGCTCCACTTAAGAAAGTAAACAGGCCCTAGCTGGTCTGGTTCAGTGGATAAAGCGTCAGCCTGCGGACTCAAGGGTCCCCAGTTTCATTCCGGTCAAGGGAACATACCTCGGTGGCAGGGTCCTCCCTGGACTAGGCTTGGTTGGGGCTCGGGACTCGTGCAGGAGGCAACCAGTCAATGTATTTCTCTCACATCACTGTTTCTCTGTGTCCCTTTCTCTTCCACTCTTCCTAAAAATCAGTAGACTTGGGAAAAGATCCTTGGGTGAGGATTAACAACAATAAAATAGAATACTGGTAAACAGAACTTTGTGTCCAGCCATTTCTCATCTTTTTAAAAATATATTTTTTATTGATTTTTTTACAGAGACGAAGGAAGAAGAACAGTCAGAAACATCGATGAGAAGGAAGAAGCTGCTTCCTGCACACCTCCTACTGGGGATGTCCACACAACCAAGGTACCATTAAGGTATTATACATGCCCTTGCCTGGAATCGAACATGGGACCTTTCAGTCCGCAGGCCAATGCTCTATCCACTGAGCCAAACTGGTTAGGGCCATTTCTCATCTTCATCACTGCTCATTCCCTGGTTCAAGACGGCATCATTTTGTGCTTCCTGGATTTTGCATTGCTCCTCTAACTGGTCCACCTGCTTCCAACCTTCTCTCTTCAGATTCACAAAGATTTGCTGGTGCAAATGCTGCTGATTGCCATCAGCTGTGATCTCCTGAACCAGAGTTCCCGCCCACCACTTCCTCCCAGTACAGTGACAGGAGGTCAGGACGGTTTTGGCAGAAATGTCTGAATCACCACAGTGCTCTCTCCCGTCCTTCCCACCCGCCAGGAGGTTCCAAGGAGGACTTCCCCAGAGAAGGAGGCTGGGCTCAGAGGAAAGGAGGTCACTGAAGCCCAGAGGAACCCACAGTGGGTGGGATTTGGTGGTCACCCTATTCCAAGG